CGAGTGTCTAATTCTGTGCAAGGAAAGAGGCTGGGTTCGGTTTTGAAATGGCCGATGGATTGTTCGCCAGTATACCAAATGGTTCGTTCGTTCGAGTGGGTGGCGACTTCTTAAATTTTCTAATGGCGTTGTTGCTAATACGCCGGATCGTAGGATTGCGCCAATGCGGCAATTATTGCATTAATTAATGTCGGAGGATGGGTGGATTTGGGTAACTGTATATACAATCGAGATCAACTTAATCGCCTAAGCAATGTAAGAAATATACTCTGTTCGTTGTCAGGAGGCAATAATAAAATCTTTGAAGCAGTAAAAACCATAGGCGTGCCAACAATTAGGTTTCATTACTATCTCTTATAATAGCGATTTTTTTGTAATGTTTAATTAAATAACAAGTTTTTGATTGAATCGCCACATACGAGTACTTAATTAATTTACCATCTGTTAATTTATACATGCACCAGCGCTAAAAATATATGAAAATATGCGCAAAATAGAATGCCGAGCCGGTACCATTTTCGTTTCCTAATGATATTCATAACACATATGCCGCGCCGATCCTCCTTCGCAAATTTATATGTGCATAAAATTAATAGAGAAGTTTAAAGGCGTCACTTCCACAAAATTCTCGCGATTTAAATTTCAAATGGTCGCGTTCGCACTCGCTCGGCGAATGGACGACGACCGTGGAATTTTTTCTACATTTCGGGCCGGCATTTCAATGCGTTCCGTATGAAATTTTTACTGACGCCCGAAGATTTTTACATTTTTACCGCCTGCCAAACGCGATTTGTACCACAGCGTGGCCTTGACTGCACAAATTCGTACCGAAACGTTGCCTTAAAACCAATTCTCTCGAAACGGCATGCTGGGCATTTGGTGACCTTTTCGCAGGGTTTTTGCGCAGCTCAAAAGGACTAGAAAGACCTTTGTTAGAAGGTAAACTTATTGCGTCAGGTGCTGTAGTAAATGTGGATGAACTCGAGCTTGCGGAGTGAGCGAGTTAATAAGAATATAACCGAGATATACGATTATCTAACGTTTTGATATGTGAATCTCATTTTCTCGACAAGTTAATTTTTTTATAAAGAATGGCTTTTCGTCGTAAAATTAAAAATAACCATTTTTCTTATGTGGTCAACTTTATCTAGGGACACACAAAATTTGAATTTAAGTTTGCAAATTTGTATTCAGCATTTATTTTAGATTATAAACAACTTTCTTTTATAAAAATTGTGTGTAAAATAAAAAATAATGGTACTTCTCTCTTGAGGTATTTTCATGTTTTCTTAATTTGATAACACCCTGTAGATCCAATCTAAGATTTTTCAGTGTTATTCTCATTTTTAAAAGAAGCAAAATTTTTATAAGCAATGACTTTTTGTCGTAAAATGAATAATAAAAATTTTTCTCCTATAGGCAATCCCATCCAAGGACACACTGTATAGAGGAATTTTGACGAGGCATTGAATCAATGAAATTTTACAATAAGTTCGCTATTTTCATTGAGTTAATTACGTTCATATCTTGTTCAATTGACTATGGAAAAACTGCGTAGATAATAATAATAATATTGCATTTATAATTACACTAAATATATTTACGTTAATTAAAGATGTAGCGAACCGTTCGGTAGTAATTTCGAAACTCTCGATATAATTTAACGTGATTCTAATCGATGGTCATTCGCAGAGTGCGATATATTTGTATGTATTTATTTTAAGGAAAGTCGATGAAATTTGAGGAGAAAGCGTAGAATTGGCGGACACACATATATCAAAAAAGGCGTTCAATGCATTCAGACCTTTCGGCTAGATTTCTAAAATCGAGTCACGATTTTAGTGTCCGAACGCCGAAGAAACGAAAACAAAAATAGAGGAAATATCTGAATCGCTCGCCGGTAAATGCATACATGCGCACACGCGCGATTTCTCAGAATTCTAGATCAGCGCGAATCGTACTTGTGCACAAAACGAAACTGATGGAAAAATCTGTTGATAGCGAAAAAATTTGATGCCTTCGAAACGGTGTCGCCCATATGTGTGTGCACGTATACTAAAATTTTGCAACAAGGTCACATTTCGAACAACGCCATGTTAATTTGCATTGTTCTAATCTGCTGTTCCAAACTAGAATTTCATTAGTCAAATTGTTTATTAGACAATGCCTAGATAAATTCTTATTTTTCTTTTTCGTATACACACACACACACACGTTTATTATTTTATTAACTTAGTCATTATTTATTTAAACGAAATTATTTATATCTTATTCTGTATAATACATCTCTCGCTATCAGGAGGGAGTATAATTTAAAATTATTTACAATAGAATTAAAATGTCGCCTTCATTTGATATCTGAATCGATATACCTGCAGTAATTATTACAGGTAATTGTTGTAAAACCAATAAGGTTCCATTACTATCTCCTGATAGCGAATAGAGTATAAATCTTAAACCTACCTATAATACAACGTTATCAAATTTATTCTATAATTAGCCAATAGTCTGGGTAGTCAATTAAATAATTTAAATCATTCTGTCGAGGACCTAATAATTTCGATCGAACGTGGCGGAGTTCACACGAAATTTTAATTTGCGCTGCAAATCGACCTAGATGGAAATCACACAAACTGTGCCGTATACGTGTTAGTGGAATTGATCAGGTGATATTTTTACGTACGAATTGCCTATCTTAAATGTCACCGAACCCGCTAAAATTGAAATAAAACGAATTGTGAACTAACATTTGCATTTGAAATTTGAAGCATTGTTTGTGTAAAAGGTGACCTTTATTTCGTGAGCATTGTGCACTCGGTAAAATTCGGTTATTGGCTAAATATGTAGTTTTTTTTTGTTGCTAAGCATCGACGTTGAATTGACACTTGGCTTAGCATTTGCAAATTTTCTGATTACAAAATGAATACTAATTTATCGCGATGGAATCTCCGTTTCTAAAATTATTGCCATTATTCTTGTTAATTTATTGGCTTTACTTTAAGGTAAACGACTATACTGGGTGTAAATAAATCGTTGGCCACCTGCACACTATTTAAATGAGGTGATAAATATTCGGTGCGTTTACTCCCAGTATATTTCAAGAAAATTAGCTCCTATTATATGATAGTAATTAACATAAAACTATTACAATTTATTCTAATCTCCATCCATTGCAAATTCGAGAATTTTTTCCATATATAGCAACCCTGCCAAATTGATTTTTTTCTATAAATAACTTCTATTGCCATCTGTTTAGAAATAACAGAACTAAATTTAGTGCAAGAAATAAAAAATTGTTTGTGTAAAAAATGTGAGATTCAACGATATCGATTCCTTCGGTATACATCCACCGACAATTATAAGTATTTTGAAAATAACTAATCAGTCGGTCAATTAAGGTTTTGCATACATGCATTTGAATCTTAGAATGGTAATAATTTGTAAAATGCCCGCAAAAAGTTGTTTGTTATAGGAAAACTCCATAAAACAATATTTAATTGTTTTGAATTTATTATTTTAAAAATAGCCGACTGTAATAGAACCAATTAATTTTCGAATTTATCCAAATAAATAATGACGTATTTTCCAAGGTAGAGTGACTCATTCGAAATACCGATAAACTAAAAATGCACGCCGAATGGAATTGTATTCCCATAAATTTTGCATATTCCGAAGGCTTCGGAGCCGAGCGATCGCGGACCGCGTGCATGCCCCCGTGCAATCGCCATCATATTTCCATTTAAACTCCGCGCTCTAAACGAATTTTCGCATCGAAAGGATCCAAAATAATTTTTTTTTGCCAAACAACGAACCGGCGCGTTTCGCAGCTAGAAAGCCAAGCGTTCGAAAAACCCACGTAGGACGAAAGGAAACAATAAACGTTGCGAAGGTGTGCGCTGCATGTTTGCGAACCGAACACTTTAATTAGGTCAATAGGTGGGATGGAGGAACTCTTCACAACGTTTCGCCTCTATTCACGAAACACATTTTTAACCAGCTGCCACTTGACGTGTCGCCCAAAGGGGAGATCCCTTTTTCGATTCACTAATGGGCCTGTGGATGTATGCACTCACATCATATCTATTCGCTCTTATTATTTTCTAAAATGCACATTTGTACTAGATTCACACTAAAGTATAACTACATGGACCATAGTTCAAGTCCCTTACACCCATGGATCTTAGCCATATTAACTTTTTCCTTGTTCCAAGTAATTTTAAATGGTCCTTGGGTATATTGTTCGAGGATCTTTCGTCCATTAATCTGTGGTCCATGGATCTATGGTTCATGTAGGTCTTTGTAATCATGTAGGTCTTTGTGGTCCATGTAGGTCATTGTGGTCCATGTAGGTCTATGTACATATATTCGGTTTGTTCCAACAAAATGTTCAAATTATGTTTGTATCAGAATTGTATTGCGCATGCCCTGATGTATACAGTTAAGTCAATAACTTAAATAAACAATATTTTAAAACTTAATTGTAACTAAATAAATATTTATGACCAACAACAAACTCAAACTAATAAAACCATACTTACTTTGGAAATGTTCTAAAAGTTCTCACTCCAAACGAGAATAGTTTTACAGATCTCAAACATGATCCAAACAAAAAACGAATTCTGCCGGAACAGCAAACATTTACTCAAAACACCCAATAACACGCTGCTGGAACGTTTTAAAATCATTGCACATGCTCACAATGTTCGTAAACACACAAAACATGCTTCTGGAACAAACCTATATTATTCATTGATCTGTGGTCCATAAAATTATGGTCCATTGATATGTGGTCCATGGATCGATAATCCATGAATCCATAATCCAAGGGTCTACGTATATTGTTCACGCTCTGTGGTCCCTGGGTCTATGATTTATTATAATAGTTATACTAGATATTCGATCGACTGTACTGACGACTTCAACAAGTAACATTATTCAAAATTATAGCAATAATCCGAGAAATAAATTCGCATAGGAATAAAACGTGTGGTGTGTTGCAGGGTTGGAACGCATCGCTGAGGAGTTGATGGGTCGAAGGAAATGGAAACTATACCAAGAATCCATGTCGAGAAGTTATCTGCAACCGTTGAACAACAATATAAAAAGAACAAACGAAGTCGATACGGACGAGTATCATCATCAGAAGGAAGCGAAGTCCAACCGCCTGCAAACGCAAACGCCGAACACCGACTCCGAATCGGACAAGGACCATTCGAAGCAAGGAGGTAATTTCGGGTTCCACGATTCGTTGTTTCGATTTGGCAGGAGATTGTGCCGGTTTCGTTATTTTAAGCTTCAAAGAGCAATCGTATTCTGGTTACTAATGCCATCTTCATTTCAATTAGATTCCTAAAATTACTCAATTAAAAGATTAATCACGAATAATATAATTCCAAACCGTTTTCAAATTATACCTAGAAAAATCGAATCGTTAGCAAAACACACACACTCACATAATACCCGATTTCCGGAAAAGACAATGATTTATTAAAAAACGATCCGCCGACAATCTACGAGCATTACGTATGTAGTTTTCCGCGCTGGAGATATAGCCGGCACGTTAAAGCTCAGCGTACCGTTGCAGGAGGCAAGCAGGAAGCGCTGAACGGAACGGAGGGCGACAGGGCGAAAGAAGAGGATCGCGAGGAGCGCCAGAAGGAAAACGAAAACGACTCGGACAGATTGAAAGACTGGACGCCGCCAACCAAGTGTCATTTTTGCGTGGACGGCAAGCTGGATAGTGAACACACTGCGCACGGGGTGTTGGTAAGTTCCTCTTATTCCCCTGCTAAATTTTTATCCATTATAAAAGAAACTCATTCCTACGATGATTTGGTAGATATGTTTGAACTGATAAATGTGGTGCTAAGTTGATGGTGTGGTGGATAGTTCGCTATATCAGGGGAATTTACATTTAACCAATATGTAATAATCTATAGGTACTATTATTATTATCTCTAGAGCAATTTGATTAGCTCGTTATAACAGAGGAAGTCGTCGTCCTGATAAATTTCGTTCGTCAAAATTGCGCGTTCTTTATCGGCTATTTTTGTTTTTCCTCTTTTCGATTCGGCTGTAAAATGAGTACGAATTGAATAATGATTCTCGGTAAAATACCAACATCGTGATATTAGTTTTGTTTACCGCGCGATAATTGAATCACTGCTTTGGGCATCTAGGAATTGTTTTCCAAATCGAATTCTAATCCGTTATTACCGCCGCCATTCGAAAAGCGAATATGATGGGCTTATTTGCGAATTACCTACAGCGCATGTAGAAGATGAGATGACTTGGAAAATTAGATACCGGAAAATAATAACATTAGAGGAAGATTTATTAAGATAAAGATCTCCAAAATCCTACAATTGGTCAATTTTGGTTTCAACTTAAATTGATACAACGAAACCCTATAGACCTATAAAATGCAACTACCCGAGGTCTTGCTCGCTGCGCGAGCTTGACTTTACCAGTTCCATAGCAAAAACTTCACCAGCTCGGTCTAGAGAATTAATTTTCCGCAAACAGGCAATGTTCTCTCAAAGCTCTACAAGCTCTATTTTACCCACCAGTTTTCTTATTAATGCCACTAAATAATTGCTCTCGAATATATGTATCCAAAAATTAGTCCATAATTGAATGAAAAATGGCCTCGAATCTCGGCGCACGCACGCATATAAATCAATCTGTCTTCCTTATAATATTTTTGTTGCAATTCATGCCGTAATAATTCCGCTTTGTTACCATGACTGCAATTTGCTTTCACATAGCCGAAGGCGCGAAATGAACTTGAAATTTACCAGGTGTTAATTTTATTTGCGCCGGAGCAGCTCGGCGGCAGAGCGAACAAAAAGACCAAACGAAACTGTCAATTAAACGAAACAAAGACTGTTGCCATTGTTAATGTTTTGTATTCATAGAGTTCGTAAATGCCTAGAGTTCATTAAATGGAAGAGGAATGAAGATAATAGTTATCGGCGATTACACGGGAATATGTATGGTACATTCGCTGCTCTCGTTCGCGTATTGTTTATTGGCTTCTCTCGCTGCTTGTTGTGTACACGAATCATATTTAATTACTCTTTAAGTTTGCTATAAATACAAACGGAATTTATTCTTTTCTAAAAATATTTATTCAATGTTGTAAAATCATTCTTCAGTTGTCCTTCTACTTTATATTTTTTTACACCATTCGTTTGTTAAAAGAACTAAAGAAATAGTAATAATATAAAAGGAGCGATTGATCGTTACAAAAATGAACTATTTGTTAAGGCCCGGTATAAACACGAACCTACTTTGTACATGTTAACTAAACATATGTAGAGACGTTTATAAAATAATTAGCGATTTTTTAATTTGTCGAAATTGTTGATGCCTTGAATATATGCAAGCGATAATTGTCGATTTTAAATTATTGGTCAATTAACCGGCTCGTTAACATTTTGTTGTTGTAGACGTAAAATTGCGACGAAAACAAATATTTCTCTAACCTTCCCCAATGGAAACCGTAACGTTATTCGATAGTGAACCGTCTGTTGCGGCAACTAAACGTAATTGCCCGTAATTAGCGAAAAATTAAATGAAAATCTTGGTAGCTTTTAATTCGAAATCGTTTGACGCAATAGAAAATAAAAATAATAATAAAGGAAACGGCCTTGGCCTGATCGCCAGTTTTTATGTGTATTTACAATGTTCGTTTCAAAATTGGAAATAAACAGGTTAATTTTCCGAATGATAAAATTTTAATTGATTCGAATTAAATATATTGCTTATTTTTACTAACGAATAGTGATTTATTTTTTGAAATATAAATGCGCATATACCTACTGTAGCAATTTTTGAAATTTTTTATTTGATTCTACTAGTTAGGTTTTGTAGGGAATTTTGAATAACAAGGTACCTAAAATAAATTTACAATATTGTTTCATTATTGCATACCGTTTATTATAAATTATAGGTACCTACATACATAGATACCAATTTATCATAAAATTTATCATTTTAAAGTTATGAGACAATTTCTTGAAGTATGTAGGAACAAGAAACATGTAGTATATGTAGATAATTATCGCCAAAACCTTGCCATTCAAACGGAATTAATGCATATATCATTTTTTCTCTAAATTAAGTTTAAAGTTCCAGTTTTCCTTGTTTTCGAGTACAAAGCAATTAGAGAAGCAATTAGAGCCTAACGGTCGGTGCTTATGAAATTCCTGCTACTCATACACGTATGTGGACAAGACCTTGTTTTCTATTAGTCGATTTAATTAATGCTTCGATTCAAAATGTTACAGATAACGATCGTATGAAAACTATAAATAATTTTTCGTTTCGGTACGCCGGATTAGCGCGAGTTTTAGAAACGTAAACGTCGATAAATATGTAATTGCCCATTTCAAAAAAGAAAAACGCACGTACAGGGTGGCACTTGTTGGATTGTAGCCCAAAAATTATCATCAGATTGGTGTGAATTTATTAAAATAAATTTATGAATTTATTTACATTAATAAAATTAGGTAAACCCGACCACATCCTCCGAATTTTTCGGCTGTTTATATTTAAAACGGCAATTTTTATCTTCGATTCGGCGTATTCGACATATCTCTATTTCGATTTCGAATGATTCACGTTCCCGTCGTATCGAATTAAATTTCATTTATTCACACCGTGACTCACAAAAATCGATTCCTTTGCAGAGGCCTCTTCCAATTAAAATTTAAATTTTTCGTCCCGACGGTGGAAATTTTTTAAAGAAATTCAATTAGCGTTAACACGTCACAAAAGGTAGGTAAGAAATGGTATTATCGGAACAAATCAAATTTTTCATTTAAAAGAAAATATACATACAACTAGAGAGAATAAAATTTGCAATGCCCTTAATTTACTTTGTTAATTAAATGGTGTGATTTTTGTTGATTAAATTGGAAAATTGGCCAATATTCGTGATGACTGATGAGGAAATGGATGAAACAATAACAAAAATTGATTGTTGCCCAACGTTTTCGCAAAATGATAATTCGAACAGTGGGACAGAAATCATCGAATGTCATAACACGAATTTTGCGATAGAAAAATCGAACTTTCCTTTAGCAACCCAATAAACACACCTCCGCTTTGTCGCAACAAAATTGAATAAATTTTGTAGGCTTAATGCAATTAGCTTGTTGCACTAACATTTTTTAAACGAAATTTAATCCCTACAATCGCTAGTATAACTGTTAATTAGATAACGGTGTACAGTGACTTCTTACAGTCACTTCCCCCAATAGTTAGGCAACCCATCAGCGTCAATTTTTATTCAACTTGTTTGGTATATTTTTCGATACCACACAAGGCGCTGTTCTCATTATAGATAAAAGAAAAATAATCTCCACAACAAGCTCCGACTCAATTTATTAAAGCACCGCTCCCATTGTTACACTTTGCGGCTTTCTCTCTCCTAGCGATTTCTTATAATTTCTCACAATCTCAATACAACCGAATTATAAACACAACAAACGGTTTTGATAAATGTTCCTCTTGCGCTTACTCATGCCTCGAATTTCTATGTTAAATACAACGGAACGTTTGGCCTTAAATAGAACGAGTAACGAGCAATGGCTGGGTACATAAACGAAAAGTCTCGACCATTTCGCAATGACTAAAGATTTAGATAAATGATCTCTCGACGAATTTGACCCTAAATGCTCGTTCGAGATTTCAGCTTGCCGTTTTGAAATTGCGCATTGGCGTAGATCGTTGCGAAATTACCTACGCAAAACTTCGGATTTTCACCACAATGACTATTAATCTATAATAGCGTTGCAATAATTAACTAATAATTTAAAAATGGGTCGTCCTGTATGTATAAGGTTTTGAAAGGATGTTTTTGTCTGGTGAAAGACCGAATGAAGGGAATCGGTGCGATATATTTCCCAATTATATTGCGTTTTCGCGATAAGGCGCGATAAAAAATCGGACGTGAACCTCTTGAGGTTTTTTGGCCCGATTTAATCGGGCCTGTTTTCGAAATTATTCGTGGTGCAACTACCGTGATGCGATTAACGGCGAGAAAACCGCGCGCGATTACGCGACGGGATAATATTTCGACTGGTTTATACAGGAGTTGGGAAAATGGTCGTTTTGATTAGGGTAAGATTCGTGAAAGTTTCTTTTAATGAAGTTCTGTTTTATAAGAGGTTCTGGCTATACGTTACATACAGTAAAGAGCTACATATTTATTTAGTAGGTCCTTTTACAATGATTCTTTTTATAACGATTTCTTGCACTTTTTCTGGTGATTTTTTGCTTGTATAAAATTCTAACTAACAATGCTACTCTCTCTTTGTTTATTTAATAATACAGGGTGTTTCTGAAATAAGTAGTAAACTTTGTTAGCAAGTATAGAGAACCTCAAAATATGACAAAAACCCTAATGTCATTTTATCGAAATGTCCAGTTTTTGAAAGAATTCATTCCTAGATTTTTCAAGATAACAATAGTTTAAAATAATTTTGTGTATCAGAATTTTAAAAGTAATTTTTCGTGAAAACGGTTTACTTTACGGAAAATCAATAAGTATACCTTTTTATGTAAATAACTTTCACATTTTTTAAACAAATCAATAGAAAAGGTTAAAATAAAAAAGTTACGTTAGAATTAACCCACGAACCCCCCATTTTAATCCACCCCTGGACAACTTATTTAACCCCATTGAGAAGTGCCGTAAGACATTTCATTTGCTTAGTATGTGTACCAAATTTCATAATTTTACCTTTGCTATTAATGAAATTATGAATAAAAATACCTCTTCAAGAATCCATCTTTATACCACCCTGTATACCGATAAATAAAGACATTTTGAAAAAATGACATTTAAGTTTTTGTTATATTTTGAGGTTCTCTACTTGTTCCCAAAATTTGATCACTTATTTCAAAAATACCCTGTATAGAGTGTTCCAATAAAATTATGATTTTGCTCAGAAGACTCAAATAGAAAAAAGAAACGTTTTTTTAGAGCTCTAAAGTTTAAAGTGCTATTCTCCCTCTATGTGCATGATCTCTTGAACTAATTAATCTACTTGCTCCCAAAATTTTACCACTTATTTAAGAAACACCCTGTATATAGAATACGAGATTGTTTCAATAAAATTAATTATACCTATATATTTTTTTTTAATTTCAGAGTCCCCGTTTATCGGACTCAGATACTTCGGATAGTCACAGTGACAGCGAAGTGCCCACATCTCTATTACCTACCTCTCGGGGGTTGCTCAACAACCACCATCGTCACAGGTAAGCCAATAAAGCCCTAAAATCCACTAGGAATCGGTCCAATTACTGGTCTTAGTTGAACTGAAAGTCCAATTTAGTCAATTCATTTATCAACATCGAATTCAAGGTTTATTATAATAAACCTCTGCATTTTTTGTAATTTAATAAATTCAACGAAAAACATTACGAAACACCGACTGAACAATTTATTACAAAACGCAGCCGGTGTCATATTTTCTTCATTAGAAAACCCGAAATGTCTGACGAGTTTTATAAAAATTACGCGAATTCCGCCAGCGGTAGCGAAACCGCAGGATTCGTCTTCGATTTATTCGCATTTAGTTCGTTCGCACACGTGCTGGCTTCCGAATGGGAAACTATTTCGAAAAATGAAAATTCCTCGAATATTCCGAGTTCCGCGGTTCGCGACAAATTATAGAAAAAAATGCAGTCTGATTGAAGTGTTGAAGTTTGAAAAAAAAATTGTTTCAATTGCGACCACAGAGGTGCGTGTGTTCTTCTATTAAATTTAGTGTTAATAAGAACGAAATTTATAAATGTTGTTAATTATGCAACAAAATTGTTCAAAAATTTCCAAGGCTAAGCTCGATTTAATTAGCAGGTAAATAATTATTTATATATCGATTATAAAAATTGTATACATCGTTACAGATCTAACATACAAAATCCGGTACCGCCGCCGCTCGCAATGACAACGATCGAAAACAACATGATCGCCGCCGCCTCGTTGGCGGCGGCGATATCGGGCGGCCAGAGCCCCGTCGGCGCCCCCAACTCCATATTGCCCTTCTACAATCACCCGAACCTGATGACGCACGACCTGTTCCACCTGTCCAACGTCGTCCGGACGTTCCAGGCCGCCGCGGCGCTCAACGAGAAGAGCAACGGCAACACCGCCACCGGCGAGCAGCCCCTCGATCTGAGCAAGGGGGCGGTGAACAACCAGAGCGCGCCCCAAGGCGCCGACCACAGGACCGAAGCCGGCGCCAATCTCAGGCTGCCCACTTTAGAACAACGGCACATATTCAAGTAAGTGAACACATCTAACTACTAAACCATTCATAAGTACCTAAAGTAGATGAAGGTGCTACAAATAGTACTAGAACTATGGTGGTGGTGTTCAAAATGATGGATCAATTACCAATCAATTGCTTCGAAATGTTTCTCGCATAACATCGATGTCAGTTGTCAATTGTCAATGGGTTATGTCAAATGTCAACTGTTAAATGCCAATTGTCTACGTCAAATTGACCGATGAAAGTAGATGAAGGTATAATAGAAATTGTACTAGAACTATGGTGGTGTTGTCCAAAATGATGGATCAATTAGCTACCAATCAATTGCTTCGAAATATTTCTCGCAAAATATCCATGTTAATTGTAATTTCTAATGTCAATTGTTAATGGGTGACTTCAAATGTCAACTGTTAAATATCAATTGTCAACGTAAAATTGACCGATTTTGAGTAATCTTCACTAGATTGGCATTATAGACGTTAGAAATTCGAAATTATGGCGGAAAACGAAGTGCATGAACCAAAATTTAACGACCTAAAGCTTCCTATTAAACAAAATAATCTCATAAATCGATGATATATTAACTACTATATAAATTTCCTTTATTTTTGCACCATTAATCCCTTCAATACCATGCTAAATTATAGAACAAATAAGCGATTTTTACGGGTAATAATAGGTGTATTTATCGCTTAAATGGCGTATGTATTTCTATCGAACAAACGAAGATTAGACCGAATCCTCCTTACCTATTATACTCTGCGACACCGGTAAATTGAGATTTACAATTTTACAGCTGAGACCTTTCAAACTTTGTTATGAACGAGGTAGTTACAACAACTCTGTAATGGGGATATATAATTCGGCCATTACTATACGAATGTGTACAGAACTCTAAATCTAGTTTTCATATTATAGTAAAAGACTAAAGATAAATGGTGCAATAAATGAGAAATATCTAGACGTTATGACTCCATTTTCCGGAATTGGGATTTTTATGGTTTATTTTAGAGTGCACGTGATATTATAACTATTTCGTTTCTTTTTGGCCTCGTATAAAAGGACTTAGATTCCAGTCGTAAAACGGATAAGTTATTATTGTCGAAATGAAATTCAGTTCTCAGGGTATATCTACAGTATGATTTGTTTCGTTTTAATTAACATTCTTTTCAAAATATTCCAACTAATTACGTTTGGTAGCAATTATAATAATATTTCGAAATTGAAATCCATGATACAAATATTTTGATCATTGTCCTATATTTTCTATACCTATATCTACAGTTCGATAGAAATAGCAAAGAACGCGAGCGGCGCGAATCTAACCTTTTATTACTGCGCATTCAGCTATTCCTATTGAACTGTACATGTTTGTTCCTTCTAATTTTTATTGAAAGTATTTAAAAATTTTATTTGTTTTGTCGATGCGTTGGGCTGGAACTTTTTGAAGCATTGATTGATTGTAGGTTTTTTTATATAAAAGATTCTCTCGGAGTATAACAACAATGATTCCGTTTATTTTTAATTCGTCGAAAGACATATAAAATAAAACAAACGATAATTAATTTTCTCGTATCATCAATGGCAAAGTACTTTCAAGTGAACTATTGTGTTAAAATTAGACGTTTTCTCGTTAAAAACAAAAAACATTCAGTTAAATGAACTCGCATATTTCAGTACGAAAGGGGTCAATAGCAAATAAAGCGCGTTTCAGTGATGCCGTTCAGAATGGGTTGGTTGTAAGTTTAAATAATTTTTTTTCTTCTTCTCGGAACGACGCGCTTTATCGGTCACAGCTTCTCTTATCGTTCGTTTATTCGTTTATTTGTCAGTCTTGTCGGATTTCGTTTCGATGTTTTCTGGATATTTTTTTCTCCTACAAGGTGCATGCGTTTCGAAACGATAAATAAATCAAGTAAGACATTTCTATCTATTTACCAATAACTATTAGATGTTTGTTTAATTATCATAATCGTAAATACATTCCTCTAACGATTAATACTTCAATGAAAGTGATTAATTTGAAAAATGCTGAAAAAAAATTACAACGAGGCAACACTGCATACTTTGAAGTTGTGACGTCATTTTTAGTTTAGAGTGAATGTATTATATCTAGTAATTAGGTAAATTTTAGATTAAAATAGGTTATTTCAATGCGTTTTGATATAAAGTGTGTCCCAAAAAGGATGTAAATTTTGCTCTACTACAAGGTCTATTATTTTATCTAATTTTGGTGGCAATTCTGTCACTGTGTCTTTTTTAAGAATTTATACAGGGTGTGTCTGAAATAAGTGGTCAAACTTTAGCAAGTAGAGAACCTCAATATATGACAAAAACTTAAATGTTTTAAAATATTCTGATACACAAAAATATTAAACTATTGTCATCTTTAAAAATCTAGGAATGAATTCTTTCAAAAACTTGACATTTCGTTAAAATGAAATTTAAGTTTTCATTGTATCTTGAGGTTCTCTACTTGCTCTCAAAGTTTAATCACTTATTTCAGAAACACCCTGTATTACTATGTGATATAGTATGTTCTAGTTAACTTAATAATGACGTCGCGAGCTGTTACCCTGTATAGAATTTGTAAACCTGTTGCGTAATATTCGGTAAAAATTTTTCATCCTGTACCGTTCATTATCTCATTTTTCGAGATATTTTCATGTCACCAATAACCCCACCATTGACGATTCTTCGATTGCCGAAAATAAACTCGCAGCATTTCCCCCCTAGGGGGCAGGAGCGTGCCAGTTTCACGACGCGACAATTTCCCTCGGTTATTGCGAAACGATAAAAAAAAATAACGAAAATAAAAATAAAAACAATGATTTATAGGCCGTTCATATCGGCGAGAAAGCACCATATATCATCGAGGTCAATCACCACCAAGAGCACAGTGCATATGGTCTATTTGTTTTTTATATCTGCGTATATCGCAATTGTTTACCGTCTATGTTTGCGGAGCGGCATACGTCGCGAAAATAATTCGGTTTTCGTTTTTTCCATCCGGCAAATGTTAAGTGCGCGCCCCGATGGATGCCGGTGAGTGAGTTGCCCGACTCTGATGGACTCTATTCCGAATGCAATGCAATGCAATTTATTATTAACCGTGTGGCTCGGAGAGTGCAATATTTTATCGGTCGGTTTCTCTGATATGCGCTCGTGCATAGGTGTTTTAGGAAGGAATTAGAAATTTAATGGAAACGACCCGGGGATGTTGGTTTTGGAGTACTTTCGTATATACTGTGCCGGGCAATTTAGCGGATGATGAAGAGGATGTGGGGACTTTAAGTTGGGTTTGATGGTACTTGGAGGACCCTCTCGCTTAATGGAATAATTGCATTATTTATGTAATGGAGTTGAAAAAATTGTTGAAGTAGTTTTTTAATTATTAATTGTCTAAGGTAATGGCCCGAAAATAATTACACCGGTTTTAATAAAATTTTGTACCTATAGCTGATTGTTATCATTTTTGTTTATGACATTAAACAAATTATATTAAAGACAATCTCGCGTTTTTCTTAGTTTAATTGTGGTAGAATTATCTGAAATTATGTTTAGTATTTATGTGTAAAATTGTTCAATACGTGATGAAATTGCAGTATTATGTCGACGTATGTAGGATGTAATTTTCTTATTTATTTCTTGAAAATATTCAATTAACTGCAAAATTTATAATTAGGCATTTGTAATAAAAATCTTTCACAAACTTTTGACCAAAAACTTCGACCTACAGGGTGGCACATTAGTATGGAAAACTTTAGGTGTTAATTAGGTATAGGGAATGGTTATTAAGAATGAAAGTACTTCAAAAATACTTCCTGTTAACGATATAAAATATATGGTGATCCATTTAAATTAACAGAGAAAATGTAACTTTTGCGTTTCGATCCACCCTGTAAGCAGTATGATTAAAATTAACAAAAAATATTCATTTTGTACATTTTCAGGATATTTGCAATGTTGTGAAACCTGAAATTTATTTTCAATTCAATCCATATTTAGTTTCTACTAAATTACTACTTAGATTTTCTTGGAAAAGTGGTCATAAATTTTAAACCACTCAGTATAACGTTATACAAAATTATATTTTTGGAAAGCTGAAAACGGGCTAAATTCAATTTTTAAATAAAAAACCGAGTGTTCCATTTAAAAAAGTATAAGTTTGATCTACTACGGGAAAACGGGACACTCTGGTACAAATGTAACTAATTATAAAATATGCAGCTTAAAAAGATCTACCACTTTTGTAATGAAGTTCTTTTATATCTTCTATCAGATATATTGAGCTTTTCCATACTAATGTGCCACCCTGTATAATAGATACAGTGTGGCCCAAAAAAACCTCTCCAAATTTCCAATTCTAAATTTCACGCCAGTCAATGGGCGCATTACGGGACAGAGAACCGATTCCTCGGTGTACACCAGCCGCAATTCGACGTAAACATCGGTCGCGTTATCTCGCTCCGAAACCATTAAAATTTTCGTCGCTAACGAAAAACACGCATCGCCGAATAAATGATAACGGTGCGGGTTGACTAACCTATCCCACACGAAAACGCGTTGCGCCTGCTATAGCATTAATCGCGACGACGCGTTTTCCGGCGCGGGGACACTCTGTGTACCTATGCAAAAAAATTTCCCGAATAACCGGAAAATTGAATGCACGCGTCGCGCTTAAGCGGAATATCCAATTGCGGGGAAAAACGATTTTTCATTGGAAAACCCGACGCGCTCGAGGACTCGGAAAAATTAGAAAAAAAACAAGGAGTTTCCATTGTTAATTGAGTTTAACGATATGGTAATAAACTAAACACCAGTTGGAAGCATAGAAACGTTGTAAATAAATTTATCAATTCTCCGTAGGTAATTTTCTATAGTGTACAATCTTTTCTGAGCTAATACATCAAACATTTTTTAAACGCGAAATTACGGTGAGGTACGGTTATTTTAGACAGTGCTTAAAATTGTTGGTTCGGAATTAGTGTCAATGCATTTTCTCATAGAGGCGAATTTCGAAGTGGGACAAGGGCAGAATTGCATTATCTCTGCGCGTTCCACTGCTAGAATTCGCGCAGAGGCGGCGAAACATTTATTTCGACAGAATTTTTAATACTAGAGTAATTGCGCCAAATATGGACCACACCGCCATTTTAAAAAGAACGTTCTTTATATCCAGTAAATGATCATCACACACTAAGCATCACTTGTCCCTTGACCCATCTGTCGCTTGCAGTGATCCAGGATGCACTCATATATTTACAACAGTTTTTTTAGTTTTCTGCAACACGCGATCTAATGTTCTATAAAGAACTTGGGAAGTTTTTTAATCCAAAAAATACTATTTTATGTAAAAGTGGATATGACCACGAGATAGGTGAGTCATGTTGCAATTAATTGTATTAAGTTTTAATATTCTATAGTATTCCAATTTTCTAAAAAAAAATCTCAAAATGAGTAAGTATCTCAATATGAACCAGTGGCACGTTTTAAATATGGAGTGGCTAAAATTTAATTTTTATGTTCTAAAATGGCTTCGAAAACAATAGAGAAGACCAATGCAATTAAAAATGCACGAGAAAACAAATTGGGCTCTTTGAATGCTTGAATTCACTGCTTGAATCACTTAACGATATCACCACCCAAAAACTTGGATTACAATCAACATTACCGAGTGAATTGGAAGATGAATTAGTACATTATATTCATCTAGAAATGGAATAATCCGGATGTGGTCCATATTGTTCACTTTCTGAAAGTTCATAAAAATGATATACTTTAGGAAAATGTTATTTATTTCAATGATTTTGTTTTTTTGGAGCATTTTATATTATGAGTTTTCTTAATTAAATGGTTAAGGAATTGTTTAATATAAATAAAGCTGATTAAAATTTAAAATTCGACTTTTTATTAAGAAAAGTGCTTATGGTGGTCCACATATGGCGCACTTACTCTACATATGTATACGCCTTCTCCCTAACAAAGACGCAAAAATAACACAAAAATCTGTTTAACATCCCCCGACAATTGCGCAACTTCCCCCTTCCCCAATTTAAATTTTCCACAATATCTGCCAATACCCCAAGAAAACCATCAGGAGTATGGGACGACACCCCACGTATCTATAATTTCAGTTCTGATTCCAGAGCGAAGCCTAGGATGTCGACGGTGGCCGGCCGACGGACCTACACCGAGGACGAGCTCCAGGCGGCCCTGAGGGACATCCAGTCGGGCAAGTTGGGCACGCGACGGGCGGCCGTCATCTACGGCATACCCAGGTCCACGTTGCGCAACAAAGTCTACAAACTGGCGCTCGAGCGCGAACGCGAATCGCACCTCAACAGCTCGACGCCGCTCGAGGACGAGACCATGGAGGACGAGAACAACCTCTCCGGCACCGAGGAGGAGAAGGCCGTCGAGAAGGCCCTGCAGGGCCCTTTGGTCTCACTCGCCGATATTTTCCGAATGACCGGCAGAGATGTAAGTTCGATTCACCTTCGCCATTTTTTGCAAAAAAAACACTAATAAATGGCGGTGTAGTACTTGAATTAGTAATACTAGAGCTTCTAGGTCTTCGTAATTGTGCTATACTGGAGTCTTAGGAGTACTAGAGGTTCTAGTAGTAGTATTAGAGCTACTAGAACAGTTGGTGTACTACTAGGTCTACAAGAGTTAGGTACTTAGAATATTAGAGCCTCTAGAATGTAGTAATAGAAAAACTAGAGAACTAAATATAAATACTGGAGCTGTTAGAGCACTTATGCCCAGTTGCACCAAAACATGCTAGGATGAATTCCTATCCTAAGTCAGATCTAAGTCTAAAATCAATTTTATACTGTTGCACCAACTAAAATCTCTTTCCTGTGATACAAATCGATCACAGATTCTAGGTTGTCGATTTCTACGACTTAAGATGAAAATGTTAACCTCAAAAATTTGAGAATTGTCGGGAAAGTTGTAAAATTATGGATATAAATGCAGATATAAATATTGTGGTTAATGTAAATATAATAGATGTAGAGGAAGAAATTAATGTGGTAGATGTTCCTATGCAACGACAAATTCGAATAAGAACTAATTATTTTGTAACATTCCCGGAGGAAGAATTTTTAAAAGGTTTCGTCTGCAAAAAAGAACGTCCCTACAATTAATTAAATTTAACCAAAATTTATTTATGAATGTACTAATTTCTAGGTTACAGGTTACAGGATATGTTAAAACCACAACTTCTTTTTCTTTTGATCTTTTTTCACTGGCCCCAACAACTACTAGATTATTTTGACACTTATAAAGGCAATCATCTCCTTCTTTTCAAGTTTTTCAACAATATTGCTACGTTGCCAGTTGTTATCTAAGTTAAAATGGATCGTAGGTAAAATAGCCTTTTTCGAACATGGTGCAACATTTTACAATCTTAAGTAGATCACACGTTTAAGTCAGGCTAGATAAAATATAACCTAGGATATATTGGTGCAACCGGGCATTATAGTAGTAGCAGAGAGACTGCAGCGGTTGGTATAATTTGTAGATCCCCGAGGCTTTGAAGAAAAGCGACGAGGGGCAGGACGCGTGGGGCGGGCTGGACTACAGCGAGATGGCGCCGTACCTGAACTTCCTCGCGTCGCAGAACATGCTGAGCCAGAAGCCGGCGGACGGGCCGATGGTGGCCGGCATGATACCGGAGCTGATGAAGAAGATGCTCGACGATCACTTCAAGATGCAGCAAAACGGCGACAGCGACAAGATCGCGAGGCCGAGCCCGAGCAATTCGGTGATCATCAAGCACGAGCGCACCAAATCGGAATCGGACATGGAGACCGACGACGCCCCGTCGAATGTGATACTAAAAATTCCGTCCTTCAGGCCGACGACGTCGAGTAAAAACGGATGCGACGCCATCAGGAGTCAAATCGAACCATCAGGTAACTATTTATAACGCAGCACCAGATCCTCTTTAGCCGGGTCCGTTGAAATTAACCGTTGTACATTATCCAGACGTAATTCCAGCAGGCAGTATACTGTCTCCTCCAGTGACCAGCGAATCGGGCTCGCCGCCGATATTGCCTCCGAAGGGGCTGAACATAATGAAAGACGTGAAGGACGTCATAGCTCAAAGCATCAGCCAGAAGTTCCATCAGCCGATGGAGCCGCGCCGGCCGGTCATCGACATCGATTTCAAGCGGAGCGGCTTCACGCCGCCCCTCGGCTCCGGCATATCGGTCATCAAGACGCAGCAGGACCTGAGCAGGCAATTCCAGCAGCAACAGCAGCAGCAGCAGTCGCCCAAACCGCCGCAGAGCGCGAATAGTACGCCGACGGGCGGTAAAGGTGAGTTCGATGGTAAATTGGTCTTTGTACATTGTTTAATAATTGTTTGTTTAAAGGTACTCGGCCGAAACGAGGTAAATATAGAAATTACGATAGAGACAGTTTAGTGGAAGCGGTGAGGGCGGTTCAAAGGGGCGAAATGTCGGTGCACAGGGCGGGTAGTTATTACGGAGTGCCTCATTCCACTCTGGAATACAAAGTGAAAGAAAGACATTTAATGAGACCGCGAAAGCGCGATCCCAAACCGAATCCGGTAGACGAAAAAATAGCGAGTCTAAAGCAAAACGACATTCGCAACTCCCAGGAGAAGATGAAGTCGATGATGAAGCCTCCGCAAAAGTTCTCGCCGACCTCTCCGAACGGCATGAAGCTGCCGCTGTTCGAATCGGGCATCTCGCCGTTGACGGGCTTCAACGGGCCGCCGTTCCCGTTCTGGGCGCCGGCCGGCTTCCCGCCGATACCCATCGACTACGCGCGCAACCAGGCCAGCTCGTTCCCCGCCAGCCCGGACTTCTTCGCCTCGCAGATGATGCAGAAGCTGCAGGAGGAGTCGAGCCGGGCCGTGCCCCAGCAGTCCCCCGGCGGTCCGACCCTGTCGAAGAACGCCAGGCAGCGGGCCGAGTCGCTGCTGGAGACGACGGCGCCCAACGGGTCCTTCCTCGACGGCATCATCCGGTCCAGCCTGGAGTCCGGCGTGCCGGGCAGCGAGGACAAGTCGCTCAACGAGGACAAGAACGTCGCGCCCGAGAACATGTCCAACAAGGCGCTGCTGGATCAGCTGTGTCGAAATAGCCGGCTGCCGCCTCTCTCCAAACCGCCCGCTTCGGAGGGCACGCACAGCTCCGAAGACGAGTCCTGTAGGAAAAGTATTAGTCCATTGAATTATACCACTGGTAAGTAATACGCCTACATACCTCCTCTCCTACACGGTAACAACCTTTCGCAGCATGTAGTTAGGCAACACTTTTAACAGTTAAAAACTTGGTGGTACCGTCGTTAATACTAGCAGGAAATGGCTGTAATTTGCAGGATACGTGCGTTAAGGCCGCCAAAGCACGCCTTTAAATTCATAGATCTATTTTTGGTTAAAATTTTCCAAAATAGATAGCATGAGATTAGTTTAAGTCACTAGGAGATGTTCCGTGTTTGATTACACTTGACATAAAATCAACCGTACAAGAAAGTAAAATAAGATATACTTTTCAGAATATTTCAAATTCAATTCTTTTCCCTGCAATTTGAAAAGATAAAAGTAGGGTTTTAAAAATACTCATTAAAGTGCTCTAAAAGTATTCCGGTGCACTGGAAATACCTTATTTCATATTACCTGCCCTTAAAAAAGTGCAAATTATCGAAAAATATCTGAAAAACGGAAACTACTGGCACCTCTGTCGCTAGTCAAATTTACAAAATTGTTCTGTGATTTGACATTTATGTCAGGCGATACCATAATTTTACAGGAATCTATCATCATCATCGGCTAAAATTCTTTAATTAGTTTTTTCAATATAATACACCCTGAGGATCAATATAAACTAGGAGACATCGTTCTGTAATAAGTATTCTTCATCCTACTAAAATTATTCACACATCCGTTCGAGGAAACTCGAGTCTTACTATTATTACGTTTTGCCATTTTGACAGTTTTTGAATTCAATTTTCTTAAATATATAATGAAGTAGGAGAATAAAAATAGGAGATATCATTGCTTGCAGTCTCTATATTAGGTATAAGAAAGATTCAAATCAATTGACGAAGCCAAATTTGAATCTAACTGGAATTACTGAACCTATGTTTTCCCATTTAAAAACACCCCGAAGTGGCGCCCTTAACACTCGAGCTTTCTTTCGGTGTTATAATAATTTGGGCAATATCCTATTTCAGCGGAAACTTCGCAAGATGACAACGATGACGATTCATCGTCCCGATTCGACAAAGACGGTGCGGAGGTGCAGATGATCGAGCTCTCGAACGATTCGAACGCCTCGAGCGAGAGGAAGGTGAACGAGGAGGAGAGGCGACAGCCCAGGCTCTACGTGAAGCAAGACCTGGCGAAGCCTGAGAACCTGAAACCGGAAATGCTGATGCGCTTTCCGGAAGTACTGGCGGACGTGGACCACAACGGTTAGTGTTCGATTGTAGTTTTGAATTATTTGTTTTTTGAATTGGCAACTTATTGAAGGTTTTTGGGATAGGTTTGGCGGAAAGTGCGCCTAGCAGTGCCTCAGACAATGACGGGCCGCAAGACTGACATCAACCGCAACCAGAAATGTTTGTACCTATGCTAAGTGACAGAATTTTATACTGAAGACGTACTTTATTATGTAAACAAAAGAGAGAAATTTTAGGAGAGACAAGTTTCCATGTTGGAAATTGTCGTGGTTGTAAGTAACAAAAAATAATATGAGCGCGAAAATGACGGTGTTTGTTGATAATTATTTATTGTTTTTTTTTAATTAATTTCTTTTTGATTTTTCTAGAGTAGTCTTGTCGCTAAGCATCAAAGCAGTTAGTTGTATTAGGTGTTTTTGACTCTAAAATGTATATTGAAATTATAAGTTACGTGAAATAGTCAAACTTTGTTTTTTAGGTACCTGCGCTCTTTGTTTTTCGAATGTTTATCTGAGTAATTACCTGCGATTTATATTAAGAGATGAAATTTTTTGGGATATTCTAAACGGTTGTAAAATTTTTATAATATTTTTATAATACTTTTATACAATTTTGAGGAAAAAAATCGGTTAAATTAGTTAGTTTTTAGTGATTTATTGAATATCCTGTACCAAAAAGGATTACTAGATAAACATTTTTGTAATATTCTTTACATAACCGGTTATTAAAAATTGTTAAAATTCGCTTTGTATTTAATTAGGCGGTTTGACTTTTACACGTAAATAAATGTTTATTGTTCGATGTATTTGGCATGTTCCAAAGTAAAATAATTATAAATGTCTTTTTCTATGTGTCTTCGACGTCAAGTATACCTCAGTCTGTATAGAAAAAAAAATCACTACCTACTACATGTTCTCATACATTAAGAACTGCTTTGATGAAGAGAATTATTACATATATCGAAAACCCTTGGGATATTCCCAGAATTGAAAAAAAATTATATCTATCTGTGATTTAATCAAAATTTTTGATGTATATTTTCTCTAAAAATATCTTAAATATTATTATATAAAATTAAACAATTAGAGGTAGTTAATTGATATAAATAATTTGAATTTTGATGAGAATGGAAAATTGATTGTAAAAATTTCGGTGATACCATCGGTTTTCCAAGTGATATTTTTGTTGATTTTTTTGTCATATAAACAATGAAGTGCAATTAGATGGTATATACATACATATATATTTACATCAATATTACTTAGTATATAAGAATATATTGAATATATTATATATTTGAAAAAATGGAAGCTATTTTGTTTGAGAGAAAAAAGATTGACTCCAGGTAGAGTTAAAAAGAAATCGCTTCATTCCCCCTTTTTCAACAACCGTCAAGATAATTACAACCAACCAAAAACCAAACCGATTCCGACAGTTAAATATTAAATAGGTCGCCTGTTCTTTTTATTTCACTTTTAACCACTCACACAATCAATCTATCTATTATTAATTTTTCTTCTATTTTCTCATTAATTTACGCGCACTTTTACCGAAATGTTAACGCATTAATTGCCACAACTCTCGCGATTTTTCAGTCAGAAAATAAACAGTACATCATGAGATTTATAACCGATCTCTTATTGTCTCTAATCACGATTTGATCTCTATATTAACTCGCTTGGCACTCAACGTGTTAACAACAATATTACCAAACTAAATTCGTTAGTCATTTCGTAATCAATCAAAATTTAATTAATTCTAAATGAAAAAAATTGTGTTGAGTAAAGTGAAATTTAAAAGAATCGACGGCCCTCAAACCAAACCAGATTTTACAGGATAACACATATTTAAGTTGGACCAAATAAATCCAATATGGTGTATATAATATGGTATGCTTTTCATACATATCGTTTGAGGATCTAATCGAATTCCACGGCGCTCTTCATTGTTTAGATTGTAGTCGAACGAGGAAAATCAAAATGGGCGCCCCGGGATTCCCTTAGCGCCTCAAAATTAAACATTCCAACCATATATGTGCCAGATTTTTTATTCACAACAAATTATAAAATTGACTCGACGAACTAGCAGATTTACGATTACATTACAGTTTCACAAACTGTATAAATTGTTAATTGAATTTTTTGGAGTTACTCGAAACATGCAACACTATTTTTTTTGTAGAATTTAAGTAGTGATTTTAACTCGTTTTTTTTGTAATAAAATGCTTATTTTTTTCATCTATTCTGTAAATTATACAAGACCCTAATACTGTGTTTACACTGTGCGAGACATGTTTCTTGCAACATGTTTCTAGCAATTTCACCACAACTCAACTATAAGAAGTAAAATCCACTGTAATTCACTCAAAAATTGTTATTTCGATCAATCCATCGAAAATCTGGTAGTTCGAAAGTCGTATAAACACTGTTTTTAAATGTTTGTGTGTTTCACTTTTGCGCTTGCGATGCAACGGCAGTTCCAAGAGCCTCGAATTCCGAAACCCCGCCCGACCGGCTCTATTATATTCTAATAATATTAATATGTGTGACCTCACTTAGAAAATACCTCTGATAAATCGACTCGCCAAATTTTATTTTATGTATAAGACGTGAAAAGAAAAAGTGTTGAAGACGTCGGGCGGTTTCGCATTCGAAGGCGACAACAACGTTTCGGCTTATAATGTAATATAATAAATATTATGAAATTTATGCGAGGTAAAGAGATGTTATAAGACGAGAAACAAAACTGCAAGTGTGCCACCAATTACGTGCAATTTTTGAATACCTAGTGTTTGTATAAAAAAATTTACATTAGTTTAATGTGATAATTTGTTATAGACATTTTTTTAATGCCTTTTATTTTAATCTTTTATATAAATGCGGTCCAAGCGAGTGTTACAGTTTAAAAAGAAATGTGTAAAAGTAACATTTAGAGTATACGCGTAAAAACCATATTTTTTAAAGGATGTTGATGATAAATGAGTTTCATATTGCTTATAAAGCATTTTGTAATTGAAAATACACTATTGTGTTCTCAAATTGTTATTTAATGTTTGTAAGGCAAACATTATTTCTTTTTTGTTTAAGCATTTTAATATTAATTTGTACATTGTTGAAGTAAAAATAGTTGTCATAAGTAACAAACAGGACAGTTCACTTTATTGTAGTTCAAATCCGCGCCATGTGCAACGTGATTAACATCTACTGCACTTTTAAATTGAATTTTTTATTTGTAACAAACATTAGAATTGAACTCGCTCATTAGTGCTGTACTTATTAAATTAAAACCAAAGAATCCCTGCATTCGAGTTATTTGCAAACTTTATACAAAAGTTTTGTATTTGCGGCATTTTAATCACGTTACACGTTGCTATGTAATGATTGAATTAGTTTGTTTTTGTTGCGTTTAATATTGTTTTTGGTATAAATTTGAGATGTTTCAGCGATGAGGCTGTGCTAGAGTGAACTGGTCTGCTTAAAGGTAGAAGAAAAATCCTTATGTCTCCACCCTCCCCCCTTTGAATAGCTAATCTTTTCGTGCACCCCGATTCCCCAGTGTCAGTATTTCTGTTTAAAGATGACGGACCAAGGTCTTATTAGATTATAGAATATCATTCCACGATTTTTAGCTTTTCTTCACAATTATAAGACTTTGATAGTTTTTATTTCTACATATTTTTTTACATACACATAATTTTAACGGTTTTTTTATATCAAGACGTATTTGTTAATTAATTTTTAGTTGCAGAGTATAAGATTTATTACTTAAGTATTTGCTTTATTATCGTGTATATAGAAAGATTTTCTCAGCGCACTTTTGTGTCGTGTGCGCCCCGCTGATTGAACATTCGAAAAACCTCCGAGCAACTCGATTCAATTCGTTTATCAACGGTTCTTTTCAAACAATCCACAAACAAACAATAGTACATGTACAGTTCCCCACATTTAACCACATTGAAGACGGTAGCCGAGTCGACGATTCTTCTATGTATAGTTGTGCATTATGTTGTTGCATTATTGCATTTTTTTAGGGTTTCGTTTTGCATTTTGGGTGTTGCTCTTCGTCGTTTTCTCTCTCAGCTTTTGCTATTTTTTTACGATTTTTAGTAGTTTATTCGACGATTTTTTCGACATTCCAAGTGGATCGGTTTTGTGATATAGATTGATTTACCATGCGTATCGCTTTCGTGAGGCCAATAAGCTGTTAAAATCACTTCTATTGTTTTAACTATTGACATAAAATCGATTACATTTTGTCTTTTAGAGCTGTATAAGATATACAGGGTGTTTCTGAAATAAGTGGTCAAACTTTGGGAGCAAGTAGAATATCTCAAAATATGACAAAAACTTAAATATCATTTTATCGAAATGTCAAGTTTTTGAAAGAATTCATTCCTAGATTTTTCAAGATGAAAAAGTCACTTTTTTATGTAAAAAACTTAATTTTTTTCATGTTCTTTAAATAAATCAATCGAAAAGGTTAAAATAAAAAAAAAAAGTTAGGCTAGAATTACCCCACGAACCCCCCATTTTAACCCACCCCTGGAAAACTGTTTTCCCGATTGAATATCGCCATAAGACATTTCATTTGCTTAGTATGTGTACCAAATTTCATCATTTTACCTTTGCTATTAATGAAATTATTAATAAAAATACCTCTTCAAATAATCCATCTTGAACCGATAACCAAGGACATTTCAAATGACTTTTAAGTTTTTGTCATATTTTGAGGTTCTCTACTTGTTCCGCAAGTTTGACCACTTATTTCAGAAACACCCTGTATAGGGTGTTCCAATAAAATTATGACTTTGCTTAGATGATTCAAATAAAAAAGAAACGTTTTTCTTAGAGCTCTAAAGTTTAAAGTGCTATTCTCCCTCTATGTGCATGATCTCTTGAACTAATTAATTTCCTTTTCCCTTTGTACTTTTATACACCCGGTGTTAGTAATAATTCTTAGATTTTCCCTATTTTTCCAGAATTTTCCACATATTTTATGCAGTAGCGAAACCGGCGACAGTTTTGAATAATTAACAAGTTAGGAAAGAAACGTGGAAATTCAATACTTATTGGCCCGCGTAAATGCGTCATGTAAAATTCGAAACCTTGGTAAATTGGTTTTATTTTTGTATTACTTTACTCTGTTATCGACTCATTTATGAATAGAAAATATTAGAGCATGTTTCAACTCCGAAAACGACACGTCTTACTTCACCCATTTCGTTTGTAAATTTCTCATCAATACAGAATGTATACTTAAATAGAATAGTAGTTACTATAATACGTCAAACTTTGACACTTACAGTACAAGGTTAGGTTTAATACCCACTATATAGTTTTTTGTAAATGAGACACTAATAACAAGGTGACGGCACTTAACTAATGTAGTTTAAGGAACTTTTACTTAGTACGTAAATAGTATGTGTAGCTTAAATTTTAAAGTTTTTTCGCCCCGCTGTATTTCAACGTACGACCGTCTTCATTGTGGTAGCAAACTGCAGGTTCAAACAGGTTTCATCGTGGCATATTTCAAAAACGGTTCGCGAAAATTTACAACCGCCATTTTCACCGAGATATGATTTTTATTTTCTTTTAGTAGATTGTTCAGGTCCCGGTCGAGGTGCCGTGAAAAACTTCGCAGAGCAAAATTTTCGCGATAAAGAGATTTTCGATGAATACATTCCACTTTCTACAAGGTTTTGCTTTCTGTATTTTCACGCATTTCCACGGAAATTGTCGCCCTTTTTATGTAAAAAGTTTTATCATTTGCATCACCTGAAATTTTTGACAGATCCGAGTGGTTTCCATTGTCAAAATAAACAACAGTGCAGGTGTACCAACCTTTGGAAAATTGTGACGTAAAGTGTCTTGCGCAGTGCACTGGAAGCTGTTCAAAACGCAGGTCTGAAGTTTATTAAATTTTAGGCTCTTTTCGGAAATCTTAAATTTATGAATACAGGGTGTTATTTGGAAATGTCTTGTTAAGAGTGGTGCAGATTCGGAATGGAAAATTTAATCATGATTGAATCAAATTCATAAAACTCGATAATTACAGAAAATTCCACTTTAAATGTTATCAAAAACAGTATTAAAATATAACAGTATACTTACCTAACTCTTACTCTAAATATTGTAATAATTAAGGAGCATAAATATTTGGCGAAACAAGTCAGTTTTATGAAAATGTGCTCTTATTTTCAAATAAAATATAATCCTATTTAAAATGTTAAAATTTAAATTTAGAATACAAGTAAAGAACGAATTTAAAAGAATTTTCGTAAAATTTCAAAAATTAACTGCTCCATTCGATTAAATTTTAATTCGATGTCCATTAACAGAATAAACCCGAACGCGGAATATACTCGATATCCACCAGAGTTCGGAATATAATTATTTTATTGCAACATCTGAAAAGCCTAATTTAAAGATTAATGTTGAAATATTCCAAAGTTTATTTATTTATGAAAAGTAGTCTAGTTTAAGATAAATTTAAGTAAAGCACTCAACACCAAAAAGTGTCTTCTCACTTAACATGAAAATTTCATTTTTAAGAATTCTGTACCTGTTGTCGGTGATTATTTAAAAAAAATTGAATTTTCTAGTCTATCCCCCCAAAAAAATAATGCGTTTTAAATGAAATTGATAACTAAAAGTAAACAAATGAGAAAAATACATAATGTGATTGGAAGTATATCGATGAAGACTGAAAAAGACTTTAGGAAGTATGCGAATTAATTTTTGTTTCGGTTGAAAACCTTGTAGAGGACATTTTCAATGTACTAATGCTAAATTTTAAAATATGCCATTATCAAAATAAAATATAAAAACATTTCCGTTAATTACACATTGGGACCAAAAGTACCAATTCATATCCGAAATATCAAAATGAGATAAATATCAATGAAAATTGACTACTTAATTATATTCCGTTTCCCTTAATAATACTTTCAATTCAACGTAACATGACCACTTACTATTCCATTTTTAAAGACAATATATTGTGTTGTATTGTCGTTTTTTACACGGACTATTTAATTTTTTAAATAAGTAGGAAAAGAATTTTTATATTGCCGATCTCGCAAAAATATTCGGAAAAAAACCTTTTTCGAATGGGGACACGATAGATATGTATCTCTTTTCGAGACGAAAGCGGGAATATTTTTGCCGAGCCCAGTTTCAACATTATTACATTGTGACTATAATTGCCTTTTAGCGTGAATATATTATATCAAACTGTTGTATTTTATATGTGAAGGAAAAATTTCGGACCGATTTCCACTATATGAGCGTATTCGAAAGATATATGAGCCGTTCAAAATTTTTCCGCAAATGCAACATATTCTTGTTCGTAAAATATCTGTGACTTGTAAATCATGTTTTATTATAAAAGTTAGATGTTTGAACAATTGCTTTGTGGGAAATTGTTATTTTCAGAAAATATTTTAAAAACCACAAAAATACAAAAAACCATACACATTGTATATTTATAATGTAATTCTAAAGTATACCAGTATTTATTATACTGTGGACTACATGAACATTGCGTTTTATTTCATTTTATTCAAACCTAATATCCTAATACTTAATACCCTATCAAATACGGCGATGGTAAATTGAGCGCAAGAATATTTCAGATAGAAAAGGGAATTACTTGAATTAATTGCTAACTTTTTGGCCTAGAATAGAGTAGTGCAGATTAGAGTAGAATAGTGTTCAGTCGAGTCGAGTGTATTGTATATTTGAATAGAGTAATGTGTAGTAGTGTAGAATGTATAGTAGAATATAATAATGTAGACTGTAGAGTAGTGTTCAGTGGTGTAGAGTAGAATAAAGTAGTGTTCAGTAGAGTCGATTATAATGTAGAGTGGTGTAGACTGTAGAGTAAAATAGAGTAATGTAAAGTAGAATAAAGTAGTGCAGAGTAGAATAGAGTAGTGTAGATTAGAGAAGGGTGCATGGGAAATTCTAATTTTTATAATTATCCCATTGAAAGAGAATGTGCATGAATATACTTGCTGTAAATAAAAATTCTCAATCGTCAAAAGAATTATTTGTGGTTATTTTCCGGGGACTCTATGCCCAATTGTGTGTCCATCGTAAAATTGTAATAATCTGGGCTATACATGGGATGCAATTTATCCACCACCCCTTGTAAAAGATTTTCTAAACTCTACGAGGGCGAACAAAAAAATACGTGACAAAATAAACTATGAAATAAAACTACCATTTAAGAAACATACTATAATATCTACCTTTCAAATATACACATACGTATAAAAATTTCAAAGCTCCCGCAGTACAAACAACTCAAGGATTAAAACGTGTCAAATTCGAAACCTCCCTTCTCACTATCGACACGTATAACGTTAACGTAAACGTAGAAAAAGCGCCACACTAACAACAATGTCGCCTACGATCTATTTGTTCCGCGACCTTGCTTACACGGTAGGTAATGGTTAGAATAAAAAATACAACAGACGTCCGTATATCGATTTCCAGACGTTTAATAAATCACACATTTATTGAAAAATTAAACGACTCGCTCACCTCACGTCGAACGCACGTTTTACCATCAGTTTTCAATTCGCCATCGAACAGGTAACATATTGATGCCTACGGTTATTTGCATCGAACAGCCGAGTTCCACGGACCACAGTGGAGCCCGAGGACCGTTTCATCTTCGAAGTCATGCAGGTGAGTCAATGTATGGTAATTTTCTCGATCGGTTTCGTTCAGTTGGTGGTACTTGTTCCATCCGCAGCCGTATAGTTGGTTATTATCTGCGTAAAATAGGAAATAAATTAGTCAAAAATTGGTATAAAGTGGGATTATACATGGTGTTAATTAACTGAGAGCCGATACTTCAAGATGTGAATATTTGGATGATTTTAAGATGAAAAGTTTATATCAATATATGTCCTAAATCTCTTAGTTTTCGAGATACACGGTGTTACAATTTTAGAAAAAAACACTTTTCTATCATAATTTTCTTGTTTCTCCAGATATTTTTATGAAATTTTGGACGTGAACGTCACTGGTAATAGTAGATAGAAAATTAATTTTTCTCTCCAAAAAAAGTGTTTCCATGTTTGGGGGGCGCCAAGCAAATTTTAACAAAATATCAAAAGCAGTCTCAATGAACTTGATGAAAAACTATTCTGGTTTTTATTTTTTACGCGAAAATATTTTAATGTTCTAATACTACAATGTGGTTCAAAATATGATGTTAAAATAATCAATAAAACACGTAGATTATAGTAAAATAATCAAAAATAGAACAAACCTAATTTTAAGTTAATTAACTGATTTCAATACTTATTACTTTTACTTGAACGAATGATATTAACTGATGTTATATTTATTATCTAATTAAAACCCCATCATGCAATGAAGTAATTACATTACTCGGATTTATCTAATTTCATCAATTATTAAAACTAATTCCTAATAAAATCAACCACCCAATAATAATTGGTTCCATTAAGATTACAATACTATGAATCGAGTAGGTACTACAACGAGTAGGTATTTACCAAAGAGGATAATTGTGTGTCGACTACCGCAGGCAACCATCGTAGCATTCCAGGATTCTTCCAGGAAATCTACTACAGCTGGAGAAGCCATGACAGCTACGAAATGTTTGTCAATTTCTTCTTTTCCTAAGCCCAGCTGTCCGTTGCTGTTCCATCCCCAAACGTAGAGGTCTCCTTCGTGACTCAGAGCGCAGGAGTGCCAACCTCCTGCTGAGATTTTCTCGATCCTTATTCCTGCTAGGCATTCGATCAATCGGGGTTCGGGTTCCTCTTCCAGTTTTCCATGTCCCAGCTGACCACGACTGAAAATGTTCGAAAAATGTTATTTAAATTTGTAGTTAAAGTAAATTAATTAACTCGTTTGTGTGTTCTATGTACAACTCACCTTCCTTTACCGAATGAATAAACATTGCCAGTTTTATCTAATAATAAACAATGTTCTTTACCACATTTTATATCTACTACATCGTTACTACGGAAGCTTAATTTCTGCGGAAGTTTATAAATTGAACCATCGGAGAAGTAAGCAACAATTAATTTGGAACCACTCGCAATATTTATAATCGAATTACCAAGTTCAGAACTAAATAAAGTCTTTATATTACTAAAATTACTCAAACAACTACTGTACAAAATTCCCGAATCATCCGTAAAAATCAATTCATCATCGTTAGAAGCGAGCAAAACTAATTTTTTCTCAACAACGGAATTTATATTGCAAATACCTTCTTTATAAAATACCAAACAATCGGTGTTCGTAATAATAACAGTGTAAGAGTGGTTGATGCATACCTGTTTTATAACCTCAAATTCGAAAGCTTTACTGAACCCTTGCAAAACAGGTGTGTTTATATTTAACTGCCTGAATAAATTAAATCCATTGCAGTACAGTTTCATTATTGATTATGTCTTCGTCGAGCGCGTTTCGGGCGACAAATAATTGGAAAAATTCGCCTAACTATTTTGTACACTTGTAACTTATGATTAATTGGTCACCTCAGGAAAATAATTCGATTTGTAAGTCTGTAGTTTGTTAAAACATGGTGAGTACGTGCACTTAAATGGATTTATAGGAAGATTTATTGTTTTCTTTTTGCTTTTTTATCAAATTATTTGTTGCCATTCGAATTTTTTTGAATTTCCATGGAAACATATGACAGATGAGATGACAGTTGGGTTGACAGTGACATTAAATCATTTTCTTCTATTATTTTTTTTTATTGTCTTCACTTTTGAAGCTATTCAGTCTATAACGAAGGAATATTTTTGTTATTTTAGGGTTTATTATCGCTGTTGCGGAAACTCCGGACGGCGCCAGAGAAGGAACTTCGTTTACTATTGCTGGGATTAGATAATGCGGGGAAAACGACAATTCTCAAAATGCTTGCTTCCGAAGACATAACAAACGTTACACCAACCGCCGGTTTCAACATAAAATCCGTAAATTCCGAAGGATTCAAACTGAACGTTTGGGATATAGGAGGCCAAAGGAAAATACGTCCTTATTGGAAGAACTATTTCGAAAACACCGACGTTTTGGTAAATAAAAACCACTCATTTGGAATCGTCCTTGAAGGATTCTCACGGGGTTCCAAGGCGAATGGACGATGCCCAAAGAATCCTCAAGGAACTCCCTCTATTCCCTATTGAATTTCCTTCTACCAAACATCTCTCAACTCCCCCGCTCTTGCAGATATACGTGGTAGACTCCGCGGACAAAAAGCGCCTGGAAGAGACCGGCATCGAGCTGTACGAGCTCCTCAGCGACGACAAACTCCAGGACGTGCCTCTGCTGGTCTACGCCAACAAGCAGGACATCCCGGAGTCCCTTTCCGCCTCCGAATTGGCGCAAACCCTGGGCCTGCCCACCATCAAGGACCGCTCCTGGCAGATCCAGGCCTGCACCGCCATCCAGGGCGTCGGCGTCAGAGAAGGGATGGAGTGGGTGTGCAAGAACATCAAGAAAAAATGAACCTAATCAGCGCATTGTATGAATTGCAGTAGGGACTTTATTTGTAATTGCTGGGTACCAATTAATTATATTGTACTCAAGGGTTCCATAATCAAGATGAAATGGGGAAGGGTGGTATTAATTTAGAGATTAAGTTGAAGCTGGTTCAAGTTACAAAAATACCTATATAAATCCAAGTTTATTCAACACAATCTATAATTAGTTAACATATTTATTACAGCAATAATGTAGTTATAATATAGTCACTCATATTCATGTAGTACTTAATAAATTTTTAAATTTTATGCGACTGCAAATTTTCTTCTTAGCATCCTGTTATCTCCGCATTGTTCTGAACTTTCTTAGATAAATAAGATCGACTAAACCATCGAAGAAATCGAGTGAAAGTATTTCCTCCGAGTAAAGTGCATCTTTGCGGTGCAGTTTTGAGGCAGTAAGCGAAATGCAGGCGATTAGTAAACGGCCGTTGGAAGGAAAATGGGGAGAGATCACGGATTTTCATTTGGGCGTGAAACACGCCCTGTGGGAATTCAATCCGGGAAGGTGCTACTTGCCGGGGTTTTTCGAGAACTACGCCCAGCAAATTCTGGATGCTCCAGTTCGGGAAGACGACGTCTGGTTGATAAGCTATCCTAGAACAGGTAACGATATTGAATAATTGCAGGGATTTTTTTGGAAATATATATTATTTTAGGTTCAACGTGGTGTCAAGAAATAGTGTGGTTACTGGGGAATAATATGGATTTTCAGAAAGCGGAATCCACTTTACAGCAAATAAGAGCTCCTTTAATTGAGTAAGTTTTTATCTCATCAATTTAATCAAAAAAATTATGAAAATTTTCGTTGCTTTTCCAGGATGTCTGTGGCTCTATACGAGTACGCAGATCAATTCAAAAACGTATTCACAAACTCTGTTGATTTCGTAAATAAACTACCGTCTCCAAGATTTCTGAAAAGCCATTTACCCTTCCAATTGCTACCCAAGGATTTGCAGAAAGTAAAACCTAAGGCAAGTACATTGCTAAAAAAACGAACCTGGTGTTGTATACACCCTCATCGTTTCAATTAATATTTATTTTACAACAGATAATTTACTTGATGAGAAACCCCAAAGACACCTGCGTCTCGCTGTTCTACCACTGCAGGCTCCTGCACGGCTTCGACGTGGACTTCGACACCTTCTGCGAGCTGTTCCTCGACGGCGCCGTCATCTACGGGGACCTCCTGGACCACTGCCTGGAGTTCTGGAGCAGGCGCAACGAGGAGCACCTTCTGATCCTGCGGTACGAGGATTTGAAGGTCGACACCAAGAGTTGCGTGAAGCTCATCGCGGATTTCATGGGGAAGAGCGCGTCCGATAAGGAAGTGGAAGAGTTGGTTGATTATATAGGGTTTTCGAAAATGAGGCGGAACAGGTCCTGCAACGCGGAGGTGCTGTTGAACGGGAAAGGGGGAAGGAAGTATTTCGATGAAATGGGCTGTCATTTTATCAGGAAGGGTGAAATCGGGGATTGGAAGAATCACATGTCGCCGGATATCGTTGGAAAATTCGATGAATGGATTGAGAGAAAAACTTATGGAACTGGACTGATTCTTTGAGAAGTTTATCGTTAATCTCGTTTATCGCAAAAGTATTCCTCGAGTGTATAGTTTTGTAATAATGCATTGTAGATAAGTACGATTTATTATGTCTTATATAACTCATATGGAGGTATTTTGGGATAAATATTTTGTATTAAATAAATATTTCGAGAATCAAATATGCAATTTATTCAACAATTTATTTATTTGTATAAAATAAATAATTCGTGAGTCTAATAAGTATTTTATTCTACACAACTAAGGAAATTCATCAACTTGCTAACCTAAAAACGCCGAATTATCCGCATCATTTACCAATTCGAAGGTATTTATTATAAAAAAAAGTCTATTTCATATTCTTAAGAATCTATTCTAAATCAAATTTTCAAGGTTAATTCCCACTGCATAGCAAATATAAGCCCAAGGAAAGCTTAAAATTCTCTTCAATCGAACATCAACTACAGCATCATGAGCACAATTCCTGACGAAAGGAAACTCGATGAAATCTTACGCAGAGATTTTACAAACGCATTTAGATCGGGTTATACTTTAGTGAACGATGTCACGATGCCTGCAAGATTCGCCGATATGCACAATGATATAATCGAATGGAAGGTGAACGAACGGGACGTTTGGGTATGCAGTTTTCCCAAAACAGGTCAGTACGGGTTTAGGTACTTTGTATTTTCCATACGAGTTTATTATAATACATACATTGTTTACTCTTATCACGTCTAAAATGATTGGTAAAGGGAGTATTTAATTTAATAAAGCCACTTGAGTATAGGGTTGAGAAAAGAGAATCTTATAAAGAAAGTATTTACTTCAAAATTTACTATTAAATTAATCTACTAATTAAATTGTTATAGGCCATTTTTGACGTAACTTCGAATCTCGTTCATCTGCACTTTTAAATATTTCATCAATTCGATTAGAGGAATTCAGTTCAATGCACTTAATCTCTTGTATTTCTACATTTTTGTCTATTAACTGCAATAAAATTAATCATCGCGGATGTATTGATTTGTTTATTCAAAATTAGTACCTACCAAACAGCCGTTACCTTACAAATATTTTGCAATTTGAATTTTAGAACGCCAATTCGACGATAACGGTGTCACACATGAGCGTAACACCGCGTAGTGAACACCAGATGAAAGGTTTAGGCAAATTTTCCATTAATTATTCCATTTTATCGCTGCGCAATTGCATTTTTAAGCTATTAAATATTGATTATTCATCAATCTTCCATATTTTCACTTTCAAATTTCACCATACATAATTAGAAACCCACCTTTTTATTGCTTTGATAACTTTGTGAACACAAAAAAATCTATTAAGTAATAATAAAAGTTACCTTTGTATTCACGTACCTCGTAAAATAGTCTCCTGATTGTGAAAGTGTACAGACCAACAAGAATAGTCAAAGACACTCACACTCTCCTGATACAGCGCAGCTTCACTTCGTATATAAACTATGGCCGGCAAAAAGAACCCTTTCACTCAAAATAGTCTTTTGCTATTACCAACGATGGTAACGAATAGACCGAGCAATGCGGAATTGGATTTTATCCTGCACAGAGACTTTACCACGGTGTTTCGGTCGGGGTACGTGCAAGTGAAGGGTGTGACTTTGCCCAGGAGATTTTTGGATATTCAAAACGACATTTCGAATTGGACGGTCAGAGATCGGGATATTTGGATTGTGACTTTTCCGAAAACGGGTAATTAAATGTTGTTTTTGGGTAGGGTAGTTTTGATTAATTAGAACTGTAATTTATTAGAGATTATAAATTGGTTTGTGGAATGTAAAGCATAGATTTTAATAGTAAAAGTTTAGTAAAAATGTAACCAAATAATTTAAAAATGTATCTACATTTTTATAATTTATAACAATAATTTGAATACCCTAAATATAAGCATGTATTATTCATAAAAACATACATATTCATTGTGATAGTTTGAAATTGAATATAAGCGTGTATTATTATTTATCTTCATTCGCTCCACTTGGATTTTCTTCACTGACATAATTAATACATCATAAAATAATTCTATTATTACGTGAAAACACGCTCTATTTGATTCTAATAGGTATTATTTCTGTTGTCTAGAATTAGTGTTACAAATTTATGCATTTCTTATTAAAAACCATGCCTATTATATTAAAGTGCCTTCACCTACGTGATGAATTTAATCCAGCAATTAAGATACCTTCTTGATGAAATCGAAAGTTGGCTGAGCATTTTTTCGGTTTGATTTCAAATTAACGTTCGATCAATCTGATTTCTATTCCATAAACGAGTTATCGGTAAAAATATATCTTTTTGTAAAAGTCGCTTCGATTGAATTTGTATTAGAAAGTGGAAGTTATTGGTAATCCAAAGAAAGTAATTTAAAAAAAATTATTTATTTGAAATTATATCTGTCATTAGATGAGAAGTGTACATATGTCATCTGTCAAAAAAAAATCAAGTAACACATTTATCTTAGTAGTCTATGGAAACTTTTCAGGAACAACATGGACTCAGGAAATGGTATGGATGATAATGAACGATTTGGATTTCAAAAAAGGAGAGGAAAATTTGGGCTCCCGCTCTCCATTTCTAGAGTAAATATATTCAACTCCTGCGATTTAATTCGAATAAAATTTTGCGAATCTTTCAGAGTATCAGCGTTATTCGATTTTCGAAAATTCAAAAAGGAACACAGCGACTTCAAGCCGCCGCCATTTTTGGACGATTCCCTTAAATTCGTCCAAGACGAAAGCAAAAAAGGGGATTTGTGTTTAAAAACTCACTTACCGTGGTCGTTGTTGCCTAAATCTATACAAGACAACTCGAAAAAACCAAAGGCAAGTACCTACTATTTAATAAAATACTTACCTTCTATTATTTATATATTATTTCAGATTATTTATGTAACAAGAAACCCAAAAGACACTTGCATATCGTACTACAATCATTGCAAATTGATGGAAGGCTACAGGGGAAATTTCGAAGATTTTTGTAATCTATTTCTAGCAGGAAAATGTAAGTTATTCTGACGTATGTCAAATGTCAATCAAACGCAGATGTCAAAAAAACTATCATTATTTCTAGTGAGCTATGCTCCTTACTGGAACCACGTCCTGCCCTTCTGGGAGCGCAGGAATCAGCCCAACCTCCTTTTCCTGAAATACGAGAAAATGGTGCAGGACCTACCCTCGGTCATAAAGGAAGTGGCCGATTTCTTGGAGAAACCTCTATCGCCCGAAAACATAAGCCTGCTAGCGGAGCATTTGAGCTTCGACAGCATGAAAAAAAATCCCGCCGTCAACTACGAGATGGTGGTGAATTTGAATAGAAAATACAAATTTACCGACACCGACGGTTGTTTCATGAGATCGGGCAAAGTGGGCGATTACAAAGCGAAAATGCCGCTCGAAATTATCGATAGATTCGATGAATGGATTGAAGAAAACACAGCTAACACTGATTTTTCTTTTTAGTGCAACTCTATAAAGTTTATCCATTTATAAAAGAGAATGACGTCACAAGGCAGCCTGCAACGTTGCCGGGTTGTAATTGAAATCCTTTATAAGGCAACAACACATCGGCATTTCAACCGCGCTTCGTAAAATTCCCCTAGTCAAATGGCAGAATTAACATTGGCACTAGGGAAATTTTGAACTGGGTGGAAATTACTCAAAATAACGTCAAAATCATTTTAAAACGGATAGGATTTTACTGTTATTAATATATTTTATGTAGTTAGATAATAAAGATATATTTTTCTTCATTTATTACCGCTCAGCTTTGTTATCATCTACAATTCACGAGCGGTGTTTGATTTTATTGGACTATTTTTATAGGAATTATAGATTTACACTAAATCACTTGGTATAAAAAACAACATATTTACTTAGCCGTTGTAAATTCACTGAGCACATAATTTAACGTACATATAAACTAAAATTTACAATTCATTATGAACATATTCAGTCGTCACTCTCAATTCTTCAACGTGGAACTCGTTGCATTCTTCGAAGTACAATTTCTGGAACGAAAAATTGTTTAAAACAAAGTATAAATAAATAAAATATTTTTGTAAGTACCTTGCAATCCGCTTTGTTTGTAATATCAACGTATAAAGTCCAAAACGGTACCCCAGTCTCGCCGCTCAGGAACCATCCAGCTGCTAAACTCGACGCCCTGTACAATCCCTTCTTTAATCCAGGCAAACTCTCTCCTGCTGGATTTTCACTTTCGTGATTTACCAAACAAAGAACGTACCTAAAACAAACATTTATAACATATTTATATGGAGAACCTATAGGAACTTACCTAGTACATTTGGGTACGGCCTTACAGAACCTGTAAGCTCTGTTTACCCTAACCAAAGGTTCTATAACTTCCAAGTTGATGGTATCCGCTAGCTTATCCGATAGTTCTTTGGAGTTGCTGAGGCTCTTCATCGTCCCGCTCGCTTCGGCTAATCGCATTAATTCCTGCAAAAATGATTCGCGAATTATATACAGTTAGACGAGTCGATGTCGATGTCGCCGTAGCTCGTTTAATTATAATTAGCGTGAATTTAATTAAGCGTTTTTAGAAATCCCGAGGTAACGGTTAGGTCAGGAATAAGGGTAAATGAACCTCGAAGGAAACAGTGCGACTTCCTAAATTGAGCGATTTCGTTTATATTCTGCAAATTGCACGTACCGTTATGTAGATGACGGCGGGTTTAACGTGCTCCTTCGCGTTGATTTTCACTTCGAAGTATTTTTTCCCTACGTAATTCACGAACGCTGATATCGTTTCCACCGGCCTGGACGAGTCGAAGTGCGTGGATTTCGGGAAACCTAGGCTTTTTATGTAGGAGTTGAAGAACAACTGGCCACCCATGACGTACCTGAAAATATGTTAAATGCATACACAATCAGTATAAATGCTCGAATTTGTGTTAGGAAGTAGAAGGTAAAGTATTGGTAATCGTAAAAAAGTCATTTTTTATGGGAAAATGGTAGAAAAAAATACTGATGACTTCTTAACTGCTTCAAATTCCATCTGTCATTAGAGATTTATCAAGGTGCATATGTCAATATGTCATCTGTCAAAATCAAGAACTGATATTTAAATATTCATTTACAAATTTGTAAATGAACATTTATCTTAGTAGAAAAATAAGGTGACAAGCAAATTAACATGTTTTTTGATTTACATCATTATCAGTAACGACATGTTGTGCAGTACGTTATATAGAAATTATATTCTTCAGTTACATTTTTTCAGAATAAAAATCTTTACAAAGAGGCTACAAACTACAAAATCATCAAAGGTGCACGTCATCTGTCAAAATCAATAATAATATTTATTCAAGGAACATATTTATCTTAGTAGTCGACGAATACAATGAACAGTAAGATGATCAGCAAAGAGGCTACAAATATTGTTCACAATCACCGAACAATTGGTACAAAATTAAACTTATAAATGAAGAATTAAGGAAGATTGCCCACATAGAGTAATATGGAATTGGTAATAGTATAATATTTTAACTAGTCTAAACCTCATGACACTTTAAACATACACGTATATTCAAAAAAAAATGCGCTTCAACCTTCAAAACGAGTTATCGAAAAACTTTATAACTTTGGCGTGACGTGTATTAGGTAATTTAAGGATCAATTAAATGCCAACGAACACTAGAATATTCGAAACGATAATACTAGTTATACAGTGCATTTCTTTAATGTCCCCCCCCCCTTTTATTTTTTGAACGGATCAACTTAGAAAATTGAAATTTGGGATAATGAAACTAATGCATGATTACTATATTTTGGAGTAAAATTGACAGACGAAAATTTCAAGATGGCGACTGGGCGCCATCTTGGAAAATAAATTTAAATGGAAAGGGGGGTCTTGTGATACATCATTTTGAAGCTCCTGACAAATACTCTACAACCCTGGAATATAAAGTCAATATCTGCACCTGCTACAAAATGGCGGACATTTAATAATTACCTGAATAAATCGACGTTTAACGTCATAATTTGAGGAAATAAGCTGAGTTCTGTTCAAAAAAAGCTCGAAATGGTTGTCTTGAACTTCTTGATACAAGAACAGCCTATCCGAACATTTTCGAACATAGTAACGTCGATATTTTTACAAATATCTGTAATTATTTCTCGTATATCCAATATTGAAGCAGGTTTAGTTTCGTACACATTTTGCTTCAAATAGCCCCATAAAAAAAAGTCTAAAGGTGTCAAATCTGGTCAAATCCATTCCGTAGGACCTCGACGACCAATCCAACGATCCAACGACCAGGGAAAATAGCATCCAAATAGTTCATTACTTGTCTGGAGTAATGTGGTGGTGCTCCATCCTCCAATGGACGAGAATTGGCCATTTTAGAGTTAGTTGACGTGCTACCTAACTGCAATGAGAACTAAACAACCGAAAACTAAATGAAAATACTTTGAACACCAGGAAAATCGAAAACTAAAGAGAATATTTTGAACACCAGGAAAACCAAAAACTAAATGAGCATATTTTGACTAAACCATTAATGTTCGTTGTCGTACTTAAATTTTTTGGAATTTTTTTAACCAAAAATAACCTGTCAAACCTTATCGGTTTCCTGGGATTGCTGTTTGCCATAGAAAAACAAATATTTCTAGAAAAATTGATATTATTTTGTTTGTATTCAGGTAATTATTAAATGTTCCGCCATTTTGTAGCAGGTGCAGATATTGACTTTATATTTCAGGGTTGTAGAGTATTTGTCAGGAGCTTCAAAATGATGTATCACAAGACACCCCTTTCCATTTAAATTTATTTCCCAAAATGGCGCCCAGTCGCCATCTTGAAATTTTCATCTGTCAATTTTACTCCAAAATATAGTGATCATGCATTAGTTCCATTATCCCAAATTTCAATTTTCTAAGTTGATCCGTTCAAAAAATAAAAGGGGGGGGGACATTAAAGAAATGCACTGTATACTAAGCACCTTAGCCGAATGGTTAGGCGTTGAACATTTTTTTTGTTTGTTATTGTAAATTTATTCCACTAATTACTTGTAATATTTATGAAATATATCGTAAGAAGGTTTAATTAGTTTTGACAATAATAATATTAATATCTACTAAAATTATTTTGAATTACTAAAAATCTATATGTATAGTATGCCATGATGAAGCTACAGATCTACAGCAATAATTGAAGACGTGTTAAGTGGTAACTTCAAATTCACTCACGTCTTCAGCTATCCCTGTCGCACTGTAGAATACAGGGTGTTTCATAATGACATACTAATATTTACGGAGGTGATTCTTGGAACCATTTTAAGAAAAAACTTTATGAACTTTATGAACATGTCCTAAACCTAAAATTTAGTATTTTTTATATTTAGCACAGAAATCAAATTTGTTCTAAATTGAATGAGGATTCCGAAAATAACGTTTATTTCAATATTAGGCAGTGGCGTACCATTTTTTCTCCAAAAATATTCAATACAAAACCCCTACGAACTGTTGAAAATAATAAAAATATTTGTACATCAGAAAATGCATCTTGATTCATAGAAGACGTGTGCCAAATTTCATAAAGATATCTACAATATAGTATCACAGTTATTACAAAAAATTGCTTTTTTTCTTAAAACTTTAACACCCTGTATCTCAAAAGTCAAGACGTTTAGGACATAGGTTCATATGAAGTTTTTTCCTTCACCCCCTTAAATATTAGCATGTCATTTTGGAACACCCCGTATACAGTTTTGTTCAACTCACAGAATTGACCTTATCGCAAACAAATTAAGCGCTTTTTTGTATTTTTTAATAACAAAAAAATATATACTTACGATTTGTAAACCTTCGGTTGGGCGGCGTACTTGATAAACTCCGCTATCCTATCGGTGACGATCCTGATCCACTGCCGCCTGTAGGAGAGGTTCTCCATCAGCTCGCCGAACTTCCTGTAGTTGAAGCGCCCGTTCTCGTCCATGAACACCTTGAAGGACTTCTCGGCGCCGATGGCGGCGATCGTCTGCTTCCCGATCTCCGAGTGCACGAAGTGATCGAACAGCACGTGGAACTTCTCCAGCAGCGGCGGCATCAGCCACGAGTGCCCCTCGTGGCCCTTCGCGCGCTCGTCCGCCTCCGGCCCCATGAACGTGTTGATCGTCTGCAGGATGCCGGGCAGCATCGACAGGAAGTTGGCGTTCTTTCCCTGCTTGTTCTTCTGGTCCTTGGAGCCCAGGAAGCTTCCCGCCAAGGTGAGGAGGTCGTCCATGTTGAAGTCCTCGTCGGTTTTGCGCGGCTTCTGCGGCGCTTCTTTGGCTTTCTCGCCGCCTTGGTCGGAGAACGCGTTTAAAACGGATCCGATCAGTTGCGGATCGATTCCTCCTTGGCCGGAGGAGAGCAGCGAGCCGAGGCCTTGCAGCAGGGCGGCGCCGCCTCCTTCCTTCTTCCCGCCGGAGCCTTGGGCGAAGAGCGTGCCGAGGGTTTGCAGCAGAGCGGCGGTTCCTTCTCCTTGCTTGTTCTTGTTGTCTCCTTGGTTGAGGAGCGAGCCGAGTCCTTGTAGCAAGGCGGCGTTGCCGCCTCCTTGGTTTAACAAGCCGCCTAGGCCTTGCAGTAAATTCGCTGTTGTGTCGTCGTTGTTGTTTTGCATGTTCGACATGATGCTGCCGATGCTTTCGATGATGTTCGGGGAATCGGATTCTTAAAAAAAATGGTGGAAATTTAATCTTGCTTGGGGTTGGTTAGTGGTAGAAAAATACCTTTGTTATCGTTTTGCGAGTTGAGCACGGAGCCGAGGCCTTGGAGTAATTGCCCGGCGTTTTCTTTGCCGAATTGGGAGAGGAAATTACCGATGAGGTTTTCTCCATCGTTCTCCATGGCGTTTTGGAACATGGCGCCGAGAGTTTGGGCCTTCTGCTCCTTTCTTATATCATCGGCGGCTTCCTTGTAAGGATCAGTTTCTACTTCTATTTCATTGTTGTCTAGAGATTGAAGTGATTGACTAATTAAGCTAAAAATGACTAGAAGGGCGATCGTTTTGCTGGCCATTTCTTTGCACTGGAATAAAAAACTGGTGATAATATTGAAGATATGCGTGTACAGTGTGTATCATTAAAATTTAATGCTTTGCACAACAAAACAATATTGCGGGTAATAATTTGTAATTATGGGTAACAAAATTAGGTCGCAGTGAAGCATTTGTGGATACTGTATATAATTGTCTATTTTAAAATTTATGTTCTTGTAATAATTAACCTTACAAGTAGCGACCGACTGAATTTACTACAATACAATTAAGTCCTCAGCTATCGCTGATAAAAATTGTTTTTTTTTCTATAATGAACGACGGTAATTATGGGAAATTTGAATGCGCATTATGTGTAAACGTCTAATTATAATTAATTGAACAAAAATGTTTGTAAAATTATAAAAAGTATTACTAAAATTAGGTGACGCAATAAAAAAATAATGATTGAATCTTCAAATCCTTTGCTAATATTATTAAACAAATGATAAATTCTTTGAAATCTCTTCAGTGTCCTACATATTAAAATAGAATATACATAATTTTGACTGACACTAAATTTTAAATCGTTATTTTAACAAATTTATCTTGACGATTGGATCGACCTTAACCGAGAGATTATTTTTTTAAATCGCAACTTCCAAAGTTTATTTGTCGATGAAGAAATTTAAAAAAAGTTTATTATTATATCATTGCGATTAAAGAAGATTAGAAATAAGTTATTCGGAACAATTGTGACACATCATGTAATACAGTAAATAGTATTTACAGTATAGTGACATCATTATTCACTATACATAAGTAACGTAATTATGGCTTATATGTTATTGACACTAAAGTCCGGTTTTTTTAAGGAAGGAAATAGTTACTAAAAAGCTTGTTAATGGAATTTAAATTCAAGTTTTGGACGTATCTTCTGTTACTAATTATATTTTAATTTTAAATATCTGGAAAAAACAGTTAGGTGTTATTTATTTAATTTTTTAAACACAATAGACCCAAGAAATTGTTTATTATTACCCATGTAAAAATTGAATATCAGCAAATTCTATATTAACTTAAAACATTGATTAATATCCGAAACACCTTTATACGCTTGCATAATAAAATTTTCAATTCAATCTCTTATCGAATACGACAAAAAACAATCTCGAATCGCATTATCACACGTATTTATTTACCCACTATTCATCAGATAAGGAATTTAATAATTAAAAAAAAAACCTCACTTACCTAAATTCCCTTTTAAAACGTAATATAAACCAAAAAAAAACCACTTCAAGCGGGCGCTAGTCCGGGACGCGAAAATTATAAAAAAAAATAACAAATAAACCGCACCGATCACATAATCAAATAAGCTCCAACGAGTGCGATGCTCCTTTCGCCTGGCTATTCCGGAATATATCTTTCGTTTCGGTGACTTTGTATGTGTTACCGATGACGTACCGCGTTCAGTTAACTCAAGCGACTTGTAGTAACGGTACCCACGAAACGGTGCTGGAACCACTACGTTACCGATGCCGTGCGTACCTGACTTATTCGACTGGCTTACCTTATCTTCGTGTATTGGGTCAGTGGCGGCGCCCCGTTCAATCTGAAAGGGATACCTATACTTATTACCCAGTCGAAATTGGTGCACTAAATTTTTGAGGAGAATTAAAGGTAGCTAAAAGCTAGATAGATACAAGAGTCTTTTAGATACACGAATGACTCTTTTAGGTATGCAAATGACGGTTCTAGATAAAAAATGACTCTTAGATACAAAAATGAATCTTTTAGTCAAGCACTCTTTTAGATACAAAAATGACTCATTTAGATAAGCAAATGAATCTATTAGGTAGGTAAATCACTCTTTTAGATACAAAAGTAACTTCTTTTTAGGGTAAATCACTTTTTTTGGATACAACAATGACTATTTTAGTTAGGCTACTGTGTCTTTTAAGCAGGTATGTGACTTTATTAGATACAAAAACGACTCTTTTAGGTAGCCAATGACTCTTTTAGAATCAATATCGACTCTTTTAGAAAGGATAATGCCTCTATTAGGTAGGTAAATGACTCTTTTAAATACTAAAATGACTATATTAGGTAGTCAATGACTGTTTTATATAAAAAAGACTCTTTAAAGTAGGAAAATGCCATTTTTAAGTCTACAAATGGCTCTTTTAGGTACTAAAACGAACCCTTTGGGTAGCCAATGACTTTTTTAGATTCAAAATCGACTCTTTTAGGTAGGATAATGCCTCTATTACGTAGGTAAATGACTCTTTTAGATACTAAAATGACTCTATTAAGTAGTCAATGACTGTTTTATATAAAAAAGATTCTTTTAAGTAGGCAAACACCATTTTTAAGTCTGTAAATGGCTCTTTTTAGGTACTAAAACGACTCTTTTGAGTAGCCAGGCTATTTTAGATTCAAAATTGAATCTTTTAGGTAGGCTAACGCCTCTATTAGGTTGGTAAATGACTCTTACAGATACAAAAATGACTCTATTAGTTAGTCAATGACTCTTTTAAGTAGGCAAATACCACTTTTAAGTCTGCATATGGCTCTTTTAGGTACTAAAACGACTCTTTTGGGTAGCCAATGACTCTTTTAGATTCAAAATTGGCTCTTTTAAATAGGTAAATGACTCTTTTAGATACACAGAAGTATCTTTCAAACAAAAGCAATATTCTTTAAATCAATTGATAATTTTAAATAAAAGTCTATACACTTCAATACTCAATTTATACCCTCCAATAAAGACAACAACAAATTATAAAAAAATATCATAACATTACAAACGCATGTACAAAACCACGAATCCAATCTACCCCGCTGCAATTACGCATTCGAATGACCCGGAGAGGAAGTCAACGAGCTATAGTCCCCGGTGCTGCAGGGTATGCTCGGAATCCTCGATCCCTGCTTGGAGAACCCGCTGTACTCCGGCGCCGACGGCACCAGCGGCGGCGGCAAGCTCGCCGCCGGCGTCAACTCGCTCTTATCGATCAACGTCTCCTCGACGAGGAACGGCAGCACGAACTCGCCCCTGCTGGGCTCCAGCGGCGGCTGCGCGACGGGGCAGGAGCCGCCGACGGGGCTGAAGGGATCGACGCTGGGCGTCGGGGACTTGCGCTTGTCGGGCGTCAGCTCGTCGGCGGCGCTGTTCTCCGTGCTGAGATCGGAGAGGTCGATGTCGTAGTTGACCTTCGAGAGGCCCAGGAAGCTGTTGTCGTCGGGCGTGAGGCTGCCCGGGGTCTTGTCGATGGCCGGTGAGGAGAGCTGGTCGCCCGAATGGGAGGGCTTCAGGGCGATGCACGGCGAAATGTCGAGTTGTAGCTTGCTTTTGGGCGTTTCGAAGGCGCTGAGATGGCCGAAGGAGAGGTTTTTGAGGTAGAAGTTGCGAGGTGCGGGTTCCGGTTCAGGTTCGGGCGGGTTGGGGGCGGTGCGGGCGGCGGCTTGAGCGAGCAGTTGCTCTCTGGTTAAGGCTAAAGGGCTGGTTCTTGGTTTTATGATTAGAGGTGTTCGTTCTAGCACCGAGTCCACGCTCTCGCAAATTCCTTCCTGGAAATGAAAACGAATGAGAATGTTTGTAAAGTATTGAGTCTGTTAAAGATAGGCCGGTGTCGAAATGTGTACATACTACATTTTATTTACAGGAGAAATGTGTAAATAAGTTAATTAAATTCAGGTTCAAGATTGTACAGTTTAAATTTAACACCTTTTATTTGTATAGATAATTTTATCTAAATGTAGTTATCATAATAACATATTATATTTTGTTAAATGTTTATTCGAATTTTTACCAAGAATTATTTACAACAAACTATATGGGGTGTTAATTGAGTGCCAATACTTTAGGATGTGAACATTTGGATGATTTTAAGAAGAATAGTTTCTATCAATACATGTCCAATTTTAGAAAAAAAAACTTTTCTATCATAATTTTTTTATTACTCCAGATAGTTTTATGAAATTTTGTACACACTTTTTAATTATTAAGGAGCATTTTTTGGGGCAAATGATTTTTTAAAATTTTCAAAATATTTGAAGAAAATAATATACGCCACTGCTTTTTCTAAAAACCAATATTATTTTTAAAATCATCATTTATTTTGAAGCAAATTCGGTCTGAAGGCTTACTTTCATAAGACACGCCATTTTCGCATAAAAAAATGAAAACCAAAACATTGTTTTCCAAGTTCATTAAAACTGCTTTTGATATTTTGTTGAAATTTGGTAGGCGCCCAACATGCATGGAAATATTTTTTTTGACAAAAATTAATTTTCTTCTATTACCAGTGACGTCCACGTCCGAAATTTCATAAAAATATCTGAAGTAAAAAGAAAATTATGATAGAAAATTTATTTTTTTTCTAAAACTGTAACAACCTGTAGCTCGAAAACTAAAAGGTTTAGGACATATACTGATATAAACTTTTCTTCTTAAAATCATCCAAATATTGACATCCTGCAGTATCGGCACTCAATTAATTAACAACCTGTATAAAGTTTTTCCTTTATTCCGTTTTAATTTTTAATGCATACCTAATACAGTAAAAATACCATTACTACAAATAGTCTGTATATTTACATTATTTAATACAATTTTCTGGTATTATTTCAAAAATTTAACATATGGAAAATGATGAAGAAATATATAAAATACCAAGGATAAAAATAAAGGTAATCAAACTAACTTTCCAAGTATTTATTTCAAAAATATTTTCACTCCACGCTCGATAATCGCAAGAAATCAATTTATTCCAATTCCGAACGTATCATTAAAACAACTACAATCTTAACTTACAAATATAAACTCTAAAACCTAAACAAAAAAACACCTCTCACAAAACAACAAATCGTCTTTTAAAAACCAACCAAAAACCAATTTCGATTCGAAATTAAAAAGAAACTCTTCAAGAACTAGTTACCTTCAATTTCTGCATATCCTCCCACAGGCTCTTCGTGGTATTCTGCACGATCTGCGTGCGCTCCGACAGCCCCTTCAACAGGGCGAGGTGCTCGCGCAGCTGGTGCATCCCCTCGCACGCCACCAGCGCCGATTCCCACGCGCTCACGCACGTCACCTCCCCCGACATGTACGCCTCGAACTCCTGCTCGGGCATGTTCAACGACTCCGCCGTCAGATTCTCGATGAACGATACGGCGCAGCACTACAAACAATCCTCCAATCACCTTCTCAATTACAACTAGGATTTTCTACTCACCAAGTTAGTGAAATAGTACCCGGCCTCGCCCTGCATGAGCCTCGACTCCTTGCAGAACCTCGTCACGTAGAGGATGTTGCTCTTCAGGCGCGCCGGATTGGCCTTCAGCACGACGAAGATGAGCGCCGGCAGGAACTCGTCGGCGCTGACGGGGCCGCCCTGGCAGTGTTGCAGCACCTCGACGACGCTGCGACAGCACTTGACGACGCAGGCGAGCTTCTCCTGCGGCGCGCGCATCGAGTCCATGCCGAGCAGGTCGTTGATGGCCGTGTAGACGAGGTCGCGCACCTCGATGCTGGTCTCGCTGATGCAGCAGTCCAGGTGGTGGGCGTTCACCCAGCTCAGCTTCCTGATCCTGCCTTGGATGGTGAGGTCCTTCTCTTCGTCGTTGGTGGTCGGTGGGCAGAAGAGGAAGCTGTAAAGTGAAGGCGAATTAGCTTCGGAATGATCCTAGATGTAGAGGAACTTACTTGTACAAACTGATCATGGTGAAATTTTCGAAAAACTCAACTAGTCTATCTTTAACGTCGTTCGGGACGTTCTGGTAGGTCGGGTTCGAATTGACGCGGTTTTGGTATTGGTTGTAGTAGTTTTGCGCTATTTCCGCCAGATCTTCCATCGGTTTCACGTCCAGTTCTTTGACGATTTTGTTGGAAAATGCCTGGCTGCATTTCAGGAAATCCTTCCTGATGCCTTCGCCGTATTGGCTGTATTGCGCGATGAATTCCGCCATCAGTTTATTGGCTTCTGGATTCGCCTGTCTCATGATATCTACCAAATTCTCCGGCCTTCCGACATCTACAACACGACGCGAAATGAAGCAACTGTTATTTAAAGAACGATAACCGAAGACTTTTGAACCAACAATAAATATAACATGTTCGACCGATATGGTTTCGAGATTAATATTTTTGTTGTTTACAGGTTTTTTTTCTTCTATAAACGCTATTATCCCTTAGCGAATTGTTAACAACAACAGTCACTTCCTGTATTCTATTGTAAAGTTTAGAATTAGATATGAAGTTTCCATTCAATAATCTACACAATTGGTACTCAATATGTTCAAAAATAAACTGGTTTAATCTAAGCAGGAGATGTGAGAAGTTTCTTCTAATTGTAAACTTGAAATAACATCATGAAATAGTACCTTTGACGTTGGAAGTTTTCCGGAAAACGGGCAAACTCTTCATGTATCTGGTTTTCTTGTCGGTTTGCTGTCGTTTCTTCTCTTCGAATTTCGAAAAACCCGAAACCTGCGCTTTGGAATGATCCGAAGAGCCTCCCTGGTGGGATTTCTTCTGCCTTTCCGAATCCGTGTGGTTTCTGTAGCATTGCGAACAATAGCCTGAAATTCATTTCGATCCATAAATCACCTCCTGCGACATCTTCCGGTATTTATTCGATCATCCAGAAAATATATTTTACCTTCCCAATCGGCGTTGCCGAAGAATCCGCACCCGCTCTTGCACTTCAGATCGGCCTGTTTGATCCTGAGGGAGGGCTGCTTGGTGGCGTACATGATGTACTTGTACGACCTCTGCAAAGTTAGCACGGGCATTTTGAAGGGTGAATTTAATAACAAAATCTTAACTAATAACTAATAAAAATTATGCACTAAAAAATAGTCTTTGCACGGCGCCGATTTAGCCCCGCGAGATTGTAACCGCTTCCATACTTTCTCGGCTGCACAATTTCCTCGTCAGCGATTATTTCCTGTTAGATTCGATTCCTGCACGCTTCACAGTTTCGGAATCTACCATGGAGGCACGAAACTGTGGTCGTGTGCGCACAGGTTCAGTTCTTTCATTAGCATCTGCACCAAGGGAAATTGGGGGTATTTCAAGAAGGCGAACGAAACTTCCTTGGATCCCTGCGATTTGTGGCCAGTCGGGCAGGAAATCAAACTGCAAGAATTCGTTGAAGGTTCACCAGGATCAGCCATTTGGTAGGGAATTGACTCGATGGAATTTTGCGTGACAGGTTTGAAGTTGTGCCTGGTTCTTTCGGAAAGAAATTGGAACACTTGTATCGCGCGAGATGGTTCGATATCGATTGAACTTTCGATGGATATGCGACTTTGCACTGTGTTACGACAAGTAACTGCTATTTACCGAAGTAAACTGGACGAGATAGAGGAAGACTTCGTTTATATACTCGAAGGAATTATCAGTTTAATAACAAATAAAGCGATAAGGATTGTCAACATGGACGTAGTTATAGGAAATTTGCGCAATGGTGATCGAAATTAAACAAGAAACACAACAAAGAAAATTGGGGTGCCTTCAGGTTAAGTGGCTGTTAGACTTACTTGATCAAATACCAATAAGCGTACATTCACATCCAGATAATTTTAATCATAGTTTGATCATAAGTTTTTTCTTGCGTTCTATCAGTTTATGATTTAGATAAATTAGATAATTCGAGATAACAAAAATTAGAAAAATGCATAATGCAGGTTTACTATACTGAACTGAGTATAGAGCAAATGTGATAAGTACAAAATTAAATTTTTGAAGAAGCAAAAATTTTGAAGAGCATGGACGCCCTTGGGAAAGAATGTAAAGGTTAAGAGGATCATCACACAAGGGGCCAGGGAAACCACATTAAAAACGAGGAATTTATTATTACAGACTTCTTATCGAGAATCAATAAAATTTAAAGCTAAATCACTCGTTGCGGTCAAAAATTGACTTCCAACGCTTGCGTTGATAAAAATTCTGTTTATTGAAGAGATAAATTTAATCGTGTTCAGTTCGCATTTTTCTATCATTATTTTTTTTAATAAATCGACTCATGAAGAGTTTCACCACAATATGGAGTCGTTTTTTTTTGTTATCTCGAGCATGATTTAATGATTAATTACATCACTTTGTTGATATCGATTGCACAAATAGAATTTTAGTTGAAAAAAATCTGCTTTCAGTAAAGAAGTGAGGTCATTGAAGGAAATCTAAAATTATCTACTAAAATTTATTTATGATTGGAAAATCTCTTTTTTCACAAAAGTAGTTGTGAAATCGAGCAATATAGAGGAGAATTAAACTACAGATAACTTTAAGCATGTTTTTATCTTAACACAAAATGAATGATTTCCTTAAATTTGGTGAATGTACTGCAATTACGACAATTTAAACATTGCCAATAATATTGAGAAAACAAAGTTCAATACAACAAACAAATATTAGTTTTTCGACGTGACAATAATTTATTGATAAATAAAATTAAGATGAAATTTACGATGTTTGTTTCTCTGGAATTTTCATTAATGCGGGCTTGTACGCAAATTAAACGATATTGATTATTTAAATGGGTAAATAATTTAAGAGGTCAAAGGAATGTTCGACAATCACTGTAAGCATCCATATATCAATTACATGATCGTAAAACCCAGAACAACAGTATGTTTTGTATTTATTTCTCATTCTTAGTGCTAGTTCTTATTCCAAACATACAAAATATAAAAGAGTTTACGCTTATAAACCATTTAAAATAGAATCTTGGAGTAGGGTGTAATCTACAATGATTCATCACAATATTTTAATGAAATAACTGAAAATGTCCAATTAGTTATCTTATGTTATCTAACTTGTTTTGTCTACTTCAGTTTCTGTCTTACTTGCGAATTAGCTGCTCCTGCTTTGATAAATATTATAAAATGTTTACTTTTTCACTAGGTAATAGCCATTAACGGCGTACACAATTTAGTTGTAAATTAATAAAAAGGTGTAACAACTTAATTATTAACTTAAAGTACAGTTATAAATGTAAATTAAAGTATTTTACCTCGTTTAATTGTAACCCTAAAGTAAAAAAACACTGTTTTAAAACAATAATAACATGTTAACCTCAAAAAACTGCATTTTGACAACAACTTGACACTATTGACAGTTGACAGTTCGCAGTTCGGCTGACGTTAGAAACGAATCAGAACGCTGAAAAGTACGCTCTCACTGTCTTACGTTGAGGAATTTTCATAGTGTATAACAGAGATAGAGAGAGTATTATATCGAGTAGTTAGTGATTGTTTTGATCAGTTGGGTTATAGAAAGAGGAACAGTGATAAAATGGCACCAAATTGACACCAACACATTATTCAATGGATTTTCTCTTTTATCTCTTTTGGTCAATAATTTGCATTCATTATCCAATTTAGGTTAAACCATCATAATTTATGCTCAATATTCTCCTGTCAACTTTACAGAAATCGTATTTTTCATGTCCACTTACCTGCCTACTTGATTAATAGTTGCAATATTTTTGTATTCTTTTTGGGTTTCTTCTTCCCTTCTTCACGTAATTTTTACAAACCAGTGAAACCAGTAAATGATACAAATAACGCGATAATAATACCAATCAGGTTCGATTGCTACGCCGTCAACATTACAAAGAAAATCGCGCTGTAATGTATACTTACCGATTTCAAGATGATAGAACATTATTAATACATAACTAATAATACTAATATCCTGCCTATTCGATGAAGTAGTCGGGCTATAAGCTATAACTGTTTATAGTGTATCTATTAAATAAATTGCTCCTCATCAGCCAGTCATTGATGAGACCCATTATTAACGCTTCCTATTTTAAAATGGAAAATTTAAATATTGGCCACCTTAAATAATTATAGTGGATTGGATTTAGCTTACTGCAATCTAGTATTCTTGGATTTGATAAAAAAATATTTCGTGACTTTGACAGGCGATATGTCAACTTTGATAAAATTCAGTTCAAATTAAAAGTAGTGATAAGTTATTTGCTTAGAAAATGTTTTATTGTTCATAAATATAGATAGACTCAACATTTTCCAATATCGTAGCAAAATGTATGTAAGTGCTAAAATTATCGTTGATTATCGTGATTTTTCCTATAGATAAGAGTATAAAGAAGTAATCAAAGCCTACTTAATTAACAACCAAAAGTTTTTTCCCAACTAATCATTGTACATGTAATACCTAGAGCTAGTGAGAAAATTACGCATAATTATTTTTTACAAAATCGAAAAAATGCCTTTATTACGGCGTAGCTCCGTATATATACAAAAAAATTCTAAAGAAGAACCTTCTTAGTTTGTTTGGCGCCCATCCCGCGTAGGAACACGCAATCTTTCATATATGAGTCCTCGTTCTTTTCGTTCTTTTGGTAATTATTACTCTCCGACAGAAATGTTTAGCCATATTTAAAACCATAACCACTCCCATCACGGTCAGGTAATTTAGGAGTTTGATTGTGGTAAGTATATACAGGGTATGAGAACTGTTCGATTCAAAACCCGGCCTGGAATCCTGCGGTAAGTTACAAAACATCGTTTCAATTTTCAATATACGCGATAAGCGCAACAGATTATTCGATAATTCGATATTTCACCGCAATTTGGAGTTATTTATTCATATTGCAGTTACCTATATTTGTACCTATATTATATATTTTTTCTTATTTGTATGAAACTTTAACAGGTATAATCGATATATTGTAGTAGAAATTGTTTTCCAAAAGTTTCATCATAACATTGTAAACTTTTTGGTCATTATTTATGTCTTTATTAAGGATTTTTATAAGAATATTCTTAGTGGTTTGGACACCCTGTATATTCGAATGGATACCTGTATATGGCCGGAAGCCAATTCGGGCTTTGCCCCAGCATTCTCCTCTAATCTCTTTAAAATTGTTCTGCCCTTGGAAGAAAAGGATTATACGTACCCGCTAGTTATTGATGCATAACTTAAGAAAAATTGCCTCGGTTTTGTTTCACGGTCTACATCATCGTGTGAATTAAGAATTTTCGATGCAGACGCAGAAATCAATACAGGTTTTCTCCTAAAATGTGCGATTCTCACACCTCAATGTTCGACTTGTCCGCTTTCGCTTCGCATTTTTATTTTTTTTATTAATAATACCAGAAATCCCAACACAAGTTTATAACAGTATTTTTTTATAAAGGCATATGCTTAGTACTTTTTCTCTATAAATGACAATGAAAGATGGCGATTTTCAGTTGAAAAATTACATTATTCTTCGTCAAAATATTTAGTTCAGTTCATTATTTAGACAGTTCTAAATTATTCTGGAGCGTTCTAAATGACTGTGGACCGCTTTAAATGGTTCTGAAGCCTTTTATGGTCCTAGGCAATTCTAAATGATTCTGGAGGGTTCTTAATGACTGTGGAGCGCTCTAAATGGTTCTGAAGCCTTTTAAATGGTTCTAGACAGTTCTAAATTATTCTGGAGGGTTCTAAATGACTGGTGGAGCATTCTAAATGGTTTTAAAGCCTTTTAAATGGTTCTAGTCAATTCTAAATTACTCTGGAAGGTTCTAAATGATTGTGAAGCGCTCTAAATGGTTCTGAAGCGTTTTAAATGGTTGTAGACAATTATAAATGATTCTGGACGGTTCTAAATGGTTTTCGATCATTCTAAATGTTTGTGGAGCGTTGTAAATGGTTCTAGACAGTTCTAGAATTGATTATGAATGTCCCAAAGAGGAAAAAAGGTATCAGGTCGAGAAACTTTTCACCCTACCCTAGTAAAAAAAGAAATAAAATATACAGAGTGTGCCTATACAGTAATAGAAGAATTATTTTTTGGAACAAGAATCATTTGATTTATGGTTACTTCTTGAAGTATTTTGATGGTGCAAACAATCATTTCCATTGACTTAATCAATTCGAATTTTCCCTTGGTTGATAATTGCATTTTCGAAAAAAAAAACTGAAAAGAGAATTCGCAATCGTTTCACTAGCTGCGGGCTAGAGAATGCTGGACGTAAAATTGTGAATTTGTATTGCAAATCAGAAGAAAAATCGCCGAGACGGGTTTCTAGCAAATTATTATTCATTTTAAAATGTAATATGTAATTATGTATTCCGTGCAGATTTAACTTGGGGCTGGATCGTTCTCGGATGGTCATTTTACTGTTGACTGTCTTCTATACACGGAATATCCACGAATGCCGCGGCGAGCGAGCGATCCGAGAGATGAATTCGAAAATACTACTGCGGTCTCCGTTGTCGACTGCTTTTTACTTTGTTTTATGGAGAAACAGTTACGTAAAAAGCGCCTTATCTTACTCAAACGGCTTTATATACGTTCACGTACTTACCCGTACTGTTTACAATTAAATAGTTTACAAAAAATTATTTTCGTGCATGTGTCTCACTAAATCTAATATTACTTCTTTGAATTTTTCCTCGTTGAAAGTAGTTAGTATTTCGTTGCTCGGGGTATTAACGAATTCATCGACTTTTACTTTTTGCGCTACGTCAGTGAATTTGCTGCTGAAAATTACGGTGCCTAAAATAAAGCCGAAACGGCTCAATTTCTTCCATTCTTCCATCAAAGTTTCGTATGAGTAAATCTCCTGCGGGTCGCAATCGTACAATCGAAGCTCTTCGCTGAGTGTGCTGTGGTAAATTTTCAATAATTTATCTAAATTATTCAAAGTATCTTTTCCTGCTCCGGAGTAGAGGGAGTAGCTTAGGTCAAGAACTGGCGATCCAGTGGAGCTCATTTGAAAATCGATCAATTTGATTTCCTCGATTTCTCGCGCTCGCTGAAAAAGTTTCACGCGCAAACGTTACAAAATTATACCAACAAAAACACTGTTATATAGGGTGTTCCTAGTTTTTTCAGAAGCTCCACTCTCCCTAAGATCACCCTCTATAATAAATTAAATTACGTTGATGTATAAAAAAGTGCTTACGTTATATTTAAACATTATGTTATTGCTCCAACAATCACCGTGTAGAATAATTGAAGTTCCTTTATATTGGATACAGTCCTTAAAAAGGGCGACGCGATTGTCGAGATAGGACTTTCGATATTTTAACAAGATTTCATCGTTTTCCTCTTTCAAATACATCTCTAATTTCTCGAATAGTTTAACGACTTCCTTTAAAACCGTTTCTGAAAAAAGCTTTTAAAGCTCAATTTCGACTTGAAGTTTAAACTTACCGTTTTCATTTAGGAAGTTCCAGTTATATTTCAACGGTCTGCAGATTTCCGCGAATTTTTCCGGGTTTTTTTGTTTGAATGCGAATGATATCGCGTGAAATTTACCATAAACTCTAAAAATATTTTCGTAGGTACGGAAATCCAGCAGAATATTAGCAGGATGACATTCGTAATTTGCAAGTTTCAGGTTTTCCAATACCACAATCTTATTTTCCTCCTCTAACGAGCTGGTGAAATATTTAGGAATGTTCTTGTTGGTACCGACTTTTGGATGAAGAGCCTGGAAATGTCGTAACTCTGGCCAAATTTTCTGGTAAAAGTGGACTTCGTTGAAGAAGCAGGTTGATATAAAATCGCTTGCTTCGTTCGATTTATCAACAACAGCATGCTTAAAAACTAAATCGTATTTCAGGTTGTTCTTCTTGCTTTTTAAAGTCACAAAGTGTATCTTCCCCACGAATCCATCATCGGATTTTTCATTATTCGCGATTACCACATCGAAGTTATCTACTTTTTCTTTGGTAATATTTTCTACAATAGAATTGAAATTTTTCAACAATGTTACCTCCATATTAATGCCTATTTTGTGTCACGGGGTGAGTTGATTTTATTTGAATAGATACGCGTTTGTTGAAATAATCAGCACTATAATAATTAAACTGAAAATTACTACATCTGCAATTTGTTTTATATACATACATATCTACTTATCTGCATGTTCATGTGCATGTACATGTACAAATAGATAATGCCGAAAAAAATTTTCAATTTCCAAAAAATAAAAATTACAATTTTCCATTGCATTGTTCCGTACTTACAGAATTATGTGATAATAAAATTTGATTGTATCTACACTGTTATTACGTAATAAAACTTTAGTATGTTTCACTTAAAGTTAGTTTTTAATAACTCACATTCCCGCAATACAAAACACCCTATAAAATATTTAACCAAAAAAAATAGAATATATGTAAGCTTTATCATTATCGCACACGTGCTATAATATTCCTTCATACATAATTAACAACATTTCAATTTAACATATGCATTAATAGTGCCAGATAGTTTCTCATTTACTTATTATCGTCCTTGAATGTCATTTTTCATATGTATCGATACGAAGTTCATTATATTGAATTTATAAGGTGAATGAATAAACAGCTGGTTTGCTCATTAATGAAGTTTCCTTGCGCTTTTTTTGTCAATTTTCTTAGCAGAGTGTAAACCTTAAAAGGCTGCTCTCTTACTAACGACCGGATATGTTCTATTTAAGTATACAGAGATAATTATGGTTTTAAATTCGTTTGCAATTATTACTTACTCGTTTTATAAGAATACGTAAGCAAGCAGTTTTCTAATACACTTTGAGCTAGATATTTTTCTAATTAACAGGGCTTTTTTTCCCACGAAGTCTCCGTCAGTAATGGGGCGACTTGTAGCCATTTTTTGCTCATCTGCCGTAAATACATTTTGCGCGAATTAAAGAAATTTATGGAGAAATGTTGTATCTGGTCGAGATAAAATACGAAAATTTATTAAGAATCGTATGAGGTCATTTTTAATGCAGTAATGATGAGTAATGAAGTATGCAAATATTTATATTAATATAGTTTTACGAGTTCTTAAGCTGATTAAAATGAACAATAAGACATAGTTTAAATAGTTTCTAAAGAATTGATAAAAATGGTGTAAGTTAACGCACTTAAATTATAAATTGACTTATTTTATTGTGGTTCTTTCTATTTACCTTCCAATAAAGTACCCATTTCGATGATCTAACATCCTAAGTATATCTTTGTATAAATAAATATGTTGAATTTACCTGACTTATGGGAAGCAGGTAGAGGCATTATTGGTGTTGGGGTGGAATGTAAGGAAACACCCTTAAAATAAATTTATGACATAATTATAGATAGATACACGCATAGATATTTGAAGAAGATTATTTTTCCTAATCATATATTTTATAATGAAATTTTGCTGTGGTTATCATTTTATTTTCAGTGTAGAATACTACATACATACACTAATAAATAAAAATCATTAAATTTTTTAGTAAAAGTGGTTGTTGATTTATAATGAGAAGAAAATCAGGTTTTACCATATTTACTTTTTGTACAGAAAAAGTGTATACCTACTAATTAAAAAAAATGTTCTCTGAAATAATATATCATATTTAAAAAAACTCCTGTTACATAAAACAATGAATTATTGCAAGTGAAAAACCTCATAAAACAGCTTGATTTCCAAGTTCACCTTTTTCTTCCACTTAGCATCGCATAGTTATACCAGCGAATTAAAGCAGTACTAACTTCGTTATTTATCTCCCTCCTAACTCTAGTTTCAAGAATCTTATGGGAGCAAAAGAACATTTAAATTATATTTTTATGGCACCCCGCTTGGCCTCGTTTTACGGTTCCACGTCTTCCTTCTTTGTCTCGGCGGTCGCGCGTTCCTTCTGTTACGGCACGCCGGCCGTCGAGGTAGTACCGCGGTAGAGTGAATATCACCTGTTAGATTGTAGCATGAGTTAACGTGTATACGTCGCGGTGGAAAGGGAACACCAAAGACAATGCGAGCCATCATTGGCCATTCGTGATCCGTAGTCAAAATAGCTCTCTTCAGTATGCAGTGTGCAGTGAACCACTAGTGAACTTCCAAAGGTGATTGCCCTTCGTCTAGTCTTCGAATATACAAGGCTAAGCGTAATTGAAAATATGAACTTGCTCTGAAATGTAAGTATTACTCATAACGTGCCTACGCGAGCGCGATTTCGCTACGATATCTTTTGTTGCGCTTTCAGGTGAAGTGATCGATCGTAACATGGATTGTTTTTGTTCGAAAGCGCATTCGGTTCACTGCAAAATCGTGTTTTTGGACGAAACGGATTTGGTGCACGAGATACAGAACAACAGCAATGGGCAGGCGTTGCTCGACGTCGTCTTCCGGCACTTGAATCTGTTAGAAACCGCTTATTTCGGACTGCGTTACTTGGACACGCACGGACAAACGCATTGGCTGGACCCCAGCAAAAAACTCAACAAACAAATCAAAGGCAACGACCAGTACACGCTGTATTTCGGCGTGAAATTCTACGCGGCGGATCCGTGCAAACTGCTCGAGGAGATCACCAGGTACCAGTTTTTCCTGCAAATCAAGCAGGACGTGCTGCAGGGTAGGCTGCTGGTGCCGTTCGAATTGGCGGCGGAATTGGGCGCGTACGTTCTGCAATCCGAATTGGGCGATTACGATCCGCGACGGCACAGTCCCGGTTACGTTTCGGAGTTCCGCTTCCTCCCCAATCAAAGCGTCGAACTGGAAATTCGCATAACCGAGCTGCACCAATCGCTAGTGGGACAGTTGCCCTCGCAGGCGGAATTGAACTATTTGGATAAAGTGAAATGGCTCGAAAACTACGGCGTTGATTTGCACCCGGTGCTAGGCGAAGACCACGTGGAGTACTTCCTCGGTCTCACCCCCAGCGGTATCATAGTGCTACAAAACAAAAACACCGTAGGCAACTACTACTGGCCGCGCATCACGAAAATCTACTTCAAAGGCCGCTACTTCATGTTGCGCGTCACCGACAAGAACAACGACGAGTGCACGTACGGCTTCGAAACGCCCTCGAAGTCCGCCTGCAAGCACCTGTGGAAGTGCTGCGTCGAGCACCACGCTTTCTTCCGGCTGGTGCAAGTGGCGCCGACGTCGCCCGACATATTCGCGCTCGGCTCGCGCTTCCGGTACAGCGGTCGCACCGAGAAGCAGGCGGTGCGCGACGTCCAGATGAAAATCCGCCAGCCGCCGTCGTTCTCGCGCCGGCCGTCGCGGCGCTTCTCGCGACGCCACCAAGCCGCCGAGCCGGTGCGCCCGCACGCGCAGGAGATCAAGCACGTGTCGCTGCCGCTGCCCGTCGACGCGTACGCCGCCGGGGCGCCCTCGAAGAAGTACGACTCGCCGCGGAGCACCCGAAGCGCCCCTTGGTCGCAGCCGCATTCGAAGGGGCTGTACAACAGCTCGGCGCCGGCCAGCCCGCGATCGGTGAGGTCCTCGTCGCGGTACAGATCCTCTTCGGTGGACAGCCAGAGTTCCAACGATTCGAGGAACTGCAAGAAGAGGAAGCACCGGAGCCGGACGTCGGATAACGAGAGCGAGCACTCCAATCGGTCGTCGAGGTCCAGGAGGAGGCATCGGAGGAGGAAGTCGAGGAGCGGCAGGAAGGATTCGGGGTCCGAGTACGAACACCGGTCGAGATCGAAGCCCGATAATTACTACGAATTGGTCGATTCGGGTTTGCAGTGGCAGGAGGTGCAGAAGTCGGTTTGTAACGAAAATAGCAACGTTCAAAAAGCGACTGTGGTTAGCAACAAAAAATGCCACGAAACCAGATCGTCTGCGAGCAATTGCAACAGCACGGGGAGAAGGAACAGGCACAGGAAGCACAGGTCGAGGTCCAGATCTCCGTCCGATCCCAAATGGCTGTCGAACGAGCTGAAGAAGCATTTAGAATACGATTTAGTCGATACGTCGGGCATGTCTGATCTCCAATTGCGGGAAATTCCCTACACCGTGGTGCAAACGAACTACTCGAAAAACGTGAAACTCCGCTCCTCGAATCCGTCCAGGACCGAAGACAAAGGTCACGCGAGTGCGTCGTCTCAGCGCTCCCAACATCCGAACACCAGCAATTATCACTATAATCACCATTTAAACGCCTTGGTGGACGAGGCGCTGACTAATTTTTCATATCCTGACAAAGACTGCATCAACGGCGACGCCTTCGTAGGACTTCCTGAGCCGCTGAAGCCGTCCAGCTATTACGGCGCCAACAACCTGACTAATTACCATTTAATGAAGGAGAATTTCCTCAATTTGAACATAAACAGGAATTACCACGAGCACTCTGACTCTGGATTGGGCGTCGATCAAGAGTACGACGGAAAAAAGTCTAATGCGAAGTGATCGTAGATCGAGGTAATGTATGTAGGATGTTCTAAATAGCCGCGCGATTCGATCGGTATCTAATTTCGGAATATTTAATGAGAAAGTTATTGACATCTCTGTAGATAAAACGTTTTGTAGTTTTTGTTTTCGTTGCGACTCGAGCCGGAGTAATTTCAGCGAGTTTTTTATTGAATGTTGCGTGTACGTGTTGAAAATGATTATACTGGATGGGGAAGAGAGGTTTTGTTTTATGAAGATGGTTCTAAATGATTTTGCTAGGCTGATTACAAATCTATAGTACGATTTCCAACAGCATCTCTACTTTTTGATATATCGAATGTACTTTTATCGCAAAAACTTTAGAGCTGCTGAAGTGTCAAAAATGATGGTACTTATCTCTAGTGTTTTCTATAAATTTTCTTTTTAGAAATGATAAAGATTTTTTTAAAACTGGCAATTAATATGGTTGGAGTGTTTCGTCATTCAATTTAATTTATTTTTTATTGCGTTATAAATGCGTCCTACGCTTGTTAGATTTTTTTCCAGTACCACTGTTAATCGAAATATTTAGTTCGTTGTTCTTTGGGATTTTGAAAGATAAAAAGTGAAACTAAATCGATCATTTAATCCGGATTTGTCATGCAAAACGCCTTTAGGTACGGGCGCAGATTGAGTCATAAAACAAGTGTAAAAAGTGAAACTGTAATTTCGGCCAACTGATCAGGTCCAGGTCGTGTAAATTTTGAACTTTCTTGAACATCTTGCATATTGAAGCATAATTTAGCAATTTTATTAATAAAGAGGTAACGGTCCAGCCTGGCTCCAATTTAAAGAACGGTAGACTTTTCATGCTGTTTTACTCAATTTGTATAATTGACTGATAACGTCGCATTTATCACTCTTTAGTAGCGGTTTAAAGGAATTACCCTGATTAAAAAATTCTTAAATTATAGCACACGATTGAATAAAATTAAAACGGCGCGATTTATAATAGGAAACGAGAATCGCAAAGGAATTTTGTAAAAACTGTGATGATTTAAAAGACTTGAATTCTAATGAACATAATATAGTACCTAATGATGTGCTTGTTCTCGAAACATCCTAAAAAACTGAATGCGCTTAAAGAAAGTCAGTGCGATTTCTTTATAATAGATACATACATAATTCTCGTTATAAATTTAGACTTAATTAGTATTCAATTTCTCTTTTATTTTACACGAGAAAATTATGTTTTGCACTTACGCGCATACATTTTAAATCTGGCGTTATTTTTACGATGCAAAAATTATAAAATGTAGTTAATTTAAGCAGAGATAAATATACTGATCCACAAAAGTTAAGGAAGTTCACAAATATTGAAATTAATTTAAAAGTTGCAGGTTTCTTGATCGCCAAATTTAGTATGAGTTGTGTAGGTAGGGGCAAAAAATCCACTCAGATATGAGAAAAAACATTTAATTTCGCATATTTGAAAATTTGGTGATCAAAAAGTCTGTAACTTTTAAAATAATCGCAAAATTTGCGAACTTCCTTAACTTTTGTGGAGCAGTTTATTAGTAAATATGTATGTATGTGTATGTTTCAAGACTTATTTTAGTCTTTAATAATTTGTATATACAGTATAATTTTTTATACTTGCTATTCACTGTGAGTTACCCTCGAGTATGTATTTTGATATTATTTGGTAATTAATAGCGCATTGTATGTAAATTAATTACCGGATTTAAGTTTACAATTTGTTGATATCGGTGATTTTGTTAATACGTATTTTGTAAGTTTGTAGTTATTTATAATTTTGTATTAAAATATTTATTTCGCTACCTACGGAACTTGTTTATTTTTCTACAAACAAACGCCACAATATTCGGAATTACAATAATTTTCCTATTAAGGGATGGGTCGCAACGTGCAGCCAGCAATTCCTACTTCAACGGAATATAAACTTATCGAGAATAAATTTTCAAAGACTTCCATTAATATTGATGACATGACTCAACGGACGAAACAACGAGCGTCTTTGTCTGCAAAATTTTAACGAGGTTGAGGTTTGTTGACTACACGTACAAATTCAAATCACTTACATATTGAGTAATAATACCTCAGCCCATAGGTATTACCGATCTTTTACCATCCAGTACCATTAAACCGATATCCCGAAAGGTATGCAACACGGTTTACAAATACGCCATCTGGTGAGTAAAATTTTAACTTCAGTGTTGACGGAAAAAATAATCTTTAATTTTGTGGTTGAGGAATGGAGATATGTTGTTAAAGATGGTGGTGACTGGTTAATAAATTTGGTAAAATATACAGGGTGTTGTGGTGTATTAATGTGTGGGTAAGTGCAATCTCCCACAATATCGCTCTTTCTTTTGGAAATTGGACTAATGGAAATTGTCTTTGTTGCACCCCATATAGACCATACATTAAGTAGAAAATTGTACTTATTGTAAAGTCCTAGGTTTCTTATAATTAGTAATGAATGGTAGTGACAGGGCTTTTAACAGTGATTAACCGATCTAATTTTTAATTAATTAACAATCAAGGTTATTACGAAATCTTCCATGAATTAAATTCGTCCGACAGACAAATTGGAGAGAATTGGTTTTTGATGACACGCAAATCACGAGCCTTTGTTACAGAAATGCATAATGTGAATGCAACTGAGGCGGTTTCGATGCAACTGCAGTTTCGTTTGTTGAAATTCGATGATTTCCGTAATTCGAATCGCATGGTGTTCGATAAATAGCGTAATCAAGAAGCTTTCAATTAAAAATGACCCTATTTATTTTTGTTACATCGAACTGAACGCTCTCAATATGAAACCTGAGCTTGACGCTCTAGGCAAATGCCTCCTCCCCCTCATTAAATATCCCATAGAGTGATGAAAAATTTCCATTCGCTATATAAATAAAAAGTTTAATTTCATAAGGAAGTAGGTATTGCATTAAATATGACATAAATTCTATTGTAGGGAACTTAATAATTTTTGCACAATATGATTTTTTATAGTCAATTTTACTTTGTAGACTTTAGAAGCTCTAAATTATATTTGACCATACACGTACTCAAAAATGTTTTGCATATTATACAGGGTGTATCGATCATTCAGGAGCTCCGTCGTGCTGATACCAAACCTACAGAATTTTTTAATGCTTCAAAAGTAGTTCGAATCGAATGATCCATTTTTTATCGATTTGAAAGCAAATCTTTGATCAATAGTCACAGCTAAGTTTGGCAGCTTTTGTTAACCTTGAAAATGAAAAGGACGTAGAATCTTTCAATAATATCCAATTGTTGTATAGCTAATTCAGGATTGGTCAATTTTAAACCTCTGTATTTACAAAAGGAATAACTTTTTCATGTTTTTGGCTGCAGTTTTGGCATCTTCATTGTCGTTTCCATAAGGCATTTCCTGGTGGGGCGTGAATTCTGGGCCACCCTGTATAGTTGAAATGACACTGCCCATTTATTATTTAAAATGTCTATTGTTTTTATTGTTAATTTTAAATGATTTTTATGCCTTTTGGAAACTAATTTTGATAAGTAATTTTACAAATAATTCGTTGTATTAAATTTTTAAGTAAGTAACGGTCCAAAGTGAAGGGCTGACCCAACTTGCTTTAGTAAGATATTGAAAATAAAAAAGATACAGAGTGTCAAAGTTGAATTCAAAAAAATGATTTTTCGCAGCAGTTTGGAAGATTTTGGACGCAAGAAAGTGAAACTTTGAAGACAGGTGCTTTAATGCATGAGAAATCATAATATGATAAAAACAATTTAACAAAAGACATCTCAAATAATAAATGGCCAGTGGCATTTCAACTTCATATACATAGGTATAATATGCATTTTTGAGTGTGTGTAGTTAGCAATTCGGGTGAGCCCCATATGCCCATTCAATTGCCCTTAAAAATGTGTATGCAAATAATCCCACAAGCACGTATGAATGGAAAGTCCATATATTATTCCGAATTCTAAATATACCTTCCCTATTCAAAACACAGACTCATCCCACGCGCCCGCTTAATTGCAGTTGATATTTCTCTAAACCAATAAATCCTTCCCGAAAAAAACGCGACAATATTTATATATTTACGTCCGATAACATTATATTCGTCAACAATCAAAACATATTTTTCTACAGCATCCTCCACCTACCGCTCGATCGCCCGATCCATTGCAATAATTGCAATCGATCGATCAACGATTCGCGCCGGCAGAGGCAGGTAAGACCATCGCAAGAGGGGATATCCACGCACAACACAAAGACCGGTCCGCAACTGTTAACCACTATCGGGCGAAGGAAAGCGAGCAGCCCAAGTCCCCAAGTCAGTCGACGATCGGGTCTCGAGGAAAAAGCTACCGCGCGCTACACCGGCTCAAATTCGTGAAAGCACGCGTTCCGCGAAGAACGCGCGATGATCGCGCACCGGTAGTGAATTAAAAATTTCGAATCAAATCGATTTAAAATGCGGTCGATCGGACTGGTTTGCGCGGTTCTCATCCACCTCGCCGCAGCTTCGAAGCTGCGACCCGTGAACATGACCAAGTGCTGCAAATTCGACGAGCGCCTGGACATCGGCACCAAGTCGTGCGCGCCGCTGGGATCATCCGCGTGGAGCTTCGAAATCTACCAGATCAGGAAGGCGAGCTTCACGGAGCAGAAGGCCTTCCCGGCGCACTGGAGGGTGCGGGAGGCCGTGCCGCCGCCCTGCCCCAAGCCCCATTTGCTGCTGTTCGAAGGCAAGAACAACATCGTCTTCATGAACGGCTCGGTGTTCAGCACGATCTTCGACAGGGTGTTCCATCCGGCCGAGTTCTGCTTCGATCCCAAGGCGATTCTGGCGTGCATCGACGAGCCGGAGAGCTTGATCGCGATCAAAAAGTGTTGCGGCGATCACGCGATTTTCTCCGAAACGAAGAAGAACTGCCAGCATTTCAAAGACGATAGTTACAAAATCGACGTCGGGGAGAATAAGATTTTGGGCGCCGGGTTTCCCCCGTGCGCCAACAACAGCATGCACGTGGTGGGCGCGCTGCACAAATCCACGATTTTCAATAACGGGAGCTTGCTGGTAGATAACAATTATCTATTGGCTCCCGAGAATTTCTGCTTGGAGCATATACTCGAACAAACAGGTTAGTTTTACCCAAAACTCTCTAATACTCGAATAATGTGGAGGTGTAATGTTAATGTCTTATAATAATACAAAAAATGAGGATTTTTTGCAAATCATCAAACATCCTGTTGTAAGCTGTTTTAATATCATAATAATGGAGCAAAAAACGAAAATATACTAAAAACAGATAATTAGCAACAAATTTACTATTCCACTTATTTTATCCAAGCTTACTTGGCAAACATCTCTTGTGAACCCATTAAAACTGGTACACTGAAAACCAGCTTAATTAAGAAAATTATAACACAAATTTCAGTTCGAACACAAGATTTACATAATAAGTGTATAACGTTTATTCGAGTTCAAAGAGTAATTTTAAACATGTATGTGCATTTGTGAAGTTGTTTGAAAATTTAATTACATACTAAAATGATATATCTACTTATAATAAAACGAATTTGTTAGTTAAAAATATCAAATTTCCATGATTTATTCACTGATTAAACCAACCGTTGTCACTACATTTTTTACATAAAAACAAAACAAACATTAAACGTACTACACATAATAATTACAAACGCTCTTAAAAGCGTCAATTTTACTCCAGAATACGAATAAATTAATAAACAGCGCAAAATCTAATATCCACGCAGGTGGTACCCAATTTGTTTACTTACAACTGGAACCCACCATACCTGTTACTGCATTTAATGTCAACGAACGATTTAATTGTAGTCAATAGCTCCTTGCTATTCTACATTCTAATTCGACCTTGGAAGAATGCCCACATACATACTTATTACGATGTCGAAGAAATACTAAACATCGCGTTTGATTTGTTGTATCATTGTTGGCGATTCCTTAAGACCAGTAGCGCCTTTATCTGCATAATATTATCCAGGATAAAAGCCGGATGAAAAATGGTTAAATAAATAAATGCCAGAGGTTTACTCATATGGATAAACATTCACGTACAGGTAGAGGATACAATAGAAAGTAGAAGATGGATGTGGAAGGTTGATAGAAGATAACGCATTTAGTGTTGAAGATGGAATAGAAGGTAGAAGTTAGATGTAGAAGATACATTCACATCCATCATGTAGAAGATAGGTGTAGAAAATGCATGCATAGAAATAATCTTCACTTTTCTGATTCTGTTGAATATTGTTGTTGTTTTGCTGAATTATCTGCTTATTATTTCCTCTCAAAAACCCTAATAACAACAGAAAATGACCGCTCTAGTCGAGGAATCTACAGCATTTAACGATCCTCTTACGGAGAAGTCAGACAGGTGTGCAGGTATATTTTTAGATTTTAGTTCGGATAACTACTAACTACCACTTACACCTAGTGTTTAGCCCTAAACTCGGCCGTTTTTTGTAATACCAACGGACGAGTTTTCTGGTCTGTACACGGCATTTCTCGACGGCCGTTTTCCTTACCTGTATTTTCGAAATGGGTTTCGAGAACCGGAGGAAAAGAGCACACGGCGTTCTGGCGAACGGGCCCCAGAGCGATGTGTCGCGGTGTTGTGTCAACAGGCGCTCCGCGAAGCGATAAACAAGGTCCAGGAAGCAAGGACGACGACATTTATTCGAATTAAAAAGCGCCCGGCTAAAAATACGGGAGAACATTGTGAAATTTTTAAAATAGACCGGCGACCTGGTATCGCACTATTATCAATTAATGTTTCAGCGAAACCAATAAAACGCTAGTTTTCTGAATATTAGGAATTTATTTATATAAATTTATTTTTACGTGAGTATTCGACGCGATCCGCTCGGACTTTGGCGGTTTTTTTTAAACCACTAATTTATTTTGACATACGTTAGCGCCGTAGAAATGTAGATATATCTATTTTCGGTGCGGTTTTGCTATTTTTAATAAAATGGGCGATTGGAAATTAATTTTAAAATTTAAATTTAGTTTCCCCAATTCGCCACATACATACCTAATCCCACATTCACTATTAATAGGAGTCTCTCTAAGTTTTGTAAAAGTTCACCTGATATATCCCGGGCACATTTAGGATAAATTACAAATCATCTGCCGTTGAACATCCAAATTAAAAGAATCATCAAGAGCAATTGGCTAAGTATAAGCTAGCCTTGTTCTCAATCCGTTACACGATTTACCAAAGTCATATCAACGAGTGTATTGTGATTAATGCGGAGCAAAACGTTTTAAAATGGACATTAAAAAAAGTATAGGCGCGCCCGTCGCGGCAATAAAACTCTTTCGGCCGGGAATATGTGGATTTCTGATGATTTTCGTTCTTGGAACGTAAATAAACGTGCTTTTCCGAGTGCACGGAATTTCTGAAAAAAAGCGAAACCGCCTTCGTTGGAACAACAATAGAAACAATGCGCCTATAAAGTCGATGAAAAATTCGCTGGAGTTTACGAAATCCAATATCGAGAGCGCGTTTAGCCTTCTTTCCGTGTGCCAAAACAAAGATCGTGTTTATTGATGTTGGAAGTGTGTTTAAAACGTTCTGTAGTCGTTAAATCTGTTTTTCCATTCAACACGATCTTAGAAGCTAATTGTTCTTTAGGAATTTTTTATACTTCACACTTTGGTAAAAATTTCCAGGAAAAATGGTACAAATCTGATGTACCTATGTGAAAGATAAGTGTTAATGAACACTGTTTTAAATTGTTTTTTTTATAAATAGTAGATACTTTAAAAAATCATATGGGGGCGCGGATTTCTGTATAAATAGAATTTGATTAATCTATATGTTTATTTTTAATTTGATTACGTTTTATAAAAAATGAGTCGATTTTTGACGGTATTATTGACGCAATAAATTAATTTATGCTTTTGGCACACAGGTTGAATTTTTATTATTTATTTTATTAGCTACTTGATTATCTATTATTCATATGCTCTATTCGGTTCACTGACCATTAATTTGCCATATACTTCAAAAGAGAAAAATAAAATATCTGAAAACGTATGAAATTTCATAAAATTTCTTTGTTTACGTTATATTGTGGACATTTCATAAATTACCTCTATTGTTGCATTCATTGTTATCGACAGAAAAGGGAGAGTTTTAAGCCTAATTCTAAATAGTAAACAAATACTAAACATTTCTATAGATTCTGAGTTTTCTATTTATTCCTTCGATTATTACTTGGAGCTCCTAATAGATTCCTTCCTGCATTATCTCCTCTAGTATTAACCTATTTAAATGTAAATTAAGCCTTAATGTTTACATCTCTAAACTTTTATTGAACTCCCGATAATTGATGGTAGGCCGTAATGAAGTGATAAGCGATTGGATATTATCGACATTTCCGAATAGTAACTATTTCATTAAATATTCTAAGTATGTCACTTTATAGCCGCCTTCGTGTTTTTCAGATTTCAATAGGTACAGATATTTATATTATTTCTAAAAAAAAGTTATTGCCCCATAAATTCTTTTTTAATTGCGACCATAAATCACGTCCAATTAACTATGAAGTTCGAATAATTTTTTTTAAAACAATCGATAATCGCATACGGTATCTACTGTTTACTTATTGCAACCGCACGAGAAACAAAACAATTAATAAATAATCGAAGCATTAATAAGAATTTCACACTTGTTACATGCATACAATGTAGAAATGCATTCGCGATATTCGATGAATAGTTGCATAGTTGGCCGTGCTAATCTAAGAAAATTGACATTGACAGATGTCTAACTAATGCGATTTTGAGGTTATACGTCAAATTTTTGTAGATATTTACACGTTCAAATTTTTTCGCAGGTCGATCTGCCAGTATAATCACCTGCCCGGAGTTCATGCCGAGAAAATCGAGCAACACCGTCTCCGAAGCGGACACCGACATCCGGTTCACCATCTACCCCATCGGACTGGCCATCAGCGCCATCTTCCTGGCGGCCACCCTGGTCGCAGGATCGCTCCTTCCAGCCAGCCACCACGTCCTGCACTGGAGGTGCCAGACGAACCACGTGGTGTGCCTGCTCGTCGGTGACGTCCTGCTCTGCATCACCCACCTGTCCAGGTCCATAGCGCGTTTGCCATGCTTCTGCATAGGTAAGTTTCTTCTCATTGAATTCGACTATACAGTGCTTTTGCAAAGTCTTATGAATTGAAATGGTTAGGCAACCGAATTTGCGCGTGTTGTATGAATGAAAAGCTCGTGCACGTGGAAGTTCTGCATGATTGCTCACGTATTTATTAATCCAGAGCTAATAATAGGGATATTAAAACGATTTATTCGTCTAGAGATATAATTCGCGTTATTTAAGAAACGGCATCAATAAAATATGCATTAAATCAAATCGAATGATTTTTTTTTATTGAAGACTGACACACTTGCCTCTATTGAAGTGTCACGACCCGCTGTCTCAATATCATTAATTTATTTGGATCGTAACGATTCGGAAATTTTTTATTCATCCGTAATTGCCGATTCGATATAATTATAAATTTTATTTAATACAAAGCTCGTTTCATCAATTCGAAAAAGTCGCACCAGAAAATTAATTATGGTTTATTTATATAAGCTATTTACTTGAGATAACTGTAATATTATGAAAATACGCACGGATTCGAATCGATATACCTCATATACCCAATTTATTAGTCATTATCTAATGAAATAATGAATCACGCAATTTGTTTATATTTATACGTACAAATTTTCGTCGCTACGTCCTCGTCAAAGAGTCGTTAAGTTTTCGTAAACTGAAATTATTAAGTACTTAAAATGCACGATAAATGAGTCGATGACACCTTATCTAGTAACGAAAAGGAAGACATATTCGAATTATACTGGTTTCCACTACAACATCGCGTAATCCGGTAGGTGAAACAGCCGCGAGGTGCAGTTTATACGTGTTGGTACACTTGTAATCACCAGTGGATTCGTTTTCCTGGTTCCCAAAAGAGTTTTTAATGAGTCTTTTTTTTAGAGAAATTATCTTGTTTATCTTTATTGCTCTTGTAAGTTCTTAATGTTGCAGAGGTAATTTTGGTTTTAAATTTTTAAGAAATTTGCTTAAAAAAGCTGATCAATTTTGGTTTAATAAGAAACGCCTTCATATTTTCTCTGTGTCTAGTTCTATTTGCAATTTTTGAGACATTTGAGCGTTGGTAATAATCGAAGAAGGCGCGCCTCTGATAGGGACCGTTCATCAACCAGTAATACTAGCTCGTAAAGCGGAAATAGAGCAATAATAAATTATGAATTTTTCTAAATATCCAATGGTACTTCGTAGCTATTGCTTGTTAACATCACAGCGATTGTTAAAGAATTAGATGGGATCAGTGGGAGGTCCTCGATATGGAAACTTTGTTATGTAGATTTCACGATTTATGCTGCTCATTACTCGAATTAACTGCGAATACAATCGCAGGTATTTTTCATTTTTTTCATAAACAGTTTAATGATTCATATTTACTAAAGCATATCTCGTTGGGATTTGATTTCTCAGAAGAAATATCCTTTGTGATATTTGTGATAGAAAAGTGACTTTATATGCACGTATTGTCAATTAGTCCGAATCTTTAGGAAATAGTCACGTAGATGATTCAGTTCATTCAATTCGGAAAGCGTGTTCTTAAATTTCATGAAGAATTTTTTATCAACAAAATGCCCGAAGTAATCTTATCGATGTTGTGACTTTTTGTATCACGTATATTGCTAGAGCATATTCGAAAACGTGACTTCCTCGAATTTTTGTAGATAATGCACGCCTATTGGCAATTTCACTTGTAAATAACTCTATCAAATTTCCGATTTATCCCCGTTAAAATGTTTTGAAATGCAGCTTGCACATTTCAACGCAGCGAAATGCAAAGTAAATATTTTTATTGACCTTCGGTTATTTAATAAAACTCCTGCATAATAACTTCCCCACATCGTTCCGGATTTTATCTCAGAACAAACAAAGCTCCGATCTGCGGGATTGCAATAACAAAGCTTTTATGTAAGTCTGCGGGGGTGTGCATACGCTGCTTCCCCAAATGCGCATAATCGCTCTTACTCGATGAAATTAAATGCGTCAAATTCGTACAGGGTCTCCCAAATTTGGGAGCTGAAAAAACAAGAGTACAAGAGATAAAAAAATGGCGAATTCTTCAAATATAATGGCAAAAAGTGTGTAGAATATGGATTATATTGAATGGGGTTGTGGGTCTGTAGGGGATGGAATAGAGGATTTTATTCTCCGACGTTTAAATGTATGTAGATAATCCTGTTGAGAGAGGAATCTTTTTATTAAAGTAGTTGGTAAAAATGTTACTTTATGATCCAAGTTGTTACGTGTCGACGACCGCGTGAAAAAGTGTTACATCATAATTATTTTGTGCCTTTAAAACTGTCGTTTAGAGAAAACATTAATGAGATAACGGTCCTCCAAAATTACCTTGCTTCCAAACAAACTCGTACGCGTAAACTTGCAGTTTATTGACGAATGCAATGAACCGGTAATTGTATTTTTACCCAACTTGATTTACGTTTAATTAGACATATGTACATTTTATTAATCCTACACAATGGGTTGGTTGCCACAATATGAACCTGTTGGTACTTCACTTTAAATTTTTGCACCATACATTTAGGTAGTACCGATTACATAACTTGAATGTAGAGCAAGGTGGTGTAGTAATATATGTTACAGAATAAAAAAGTTTTACTCCCACACACCTGTTCCCACAGGTGTAATTAATTTAGCTATTTTTATTTAATATTCATATTTACTTTCCCCATAATTATTCACTTATTCTCTACACAATTTCGTAATTAAACCGAGTTAAAAATCATCGCTTACAAGTTAAGTTAAGACCAAAAAAAGGAATAATCCGTACATAACACACCTGTTTCCATATATTGATCCGATTGTATTATTCATTTCTCATTTGTAGCCAAGTATTAATCTTCTTAAAAAACTTCTCACCGACAACCCGTATATGTTCTTGGAAGAAAAAACCGGTCTGGGTGAGGAATTTTTATGTTTAAGGGCAGGTTTTACGAAATTATACGAGTATCGCGCTAATTGCCGCAATAGCTCGTCCACTGACTTGATGGTGTATAATAAAAGTTCCGGTTTATATGGGATCTTGAAGAACCTAAATGAGTGGGAAAAATGTTCAAGTATAAAGAGTCAAAAAGAATTTAAAACTTATATTATTTAAATAAATTTATTCGGGTAAATTGCTGGTTTTAAGCTACATACATACAAAAATTCTTTGTTACATTTCATCAGCTTGTTTATGTAATATTACATGATTGCAATCAAATTTAACATACCTAATACCTACATACTTTTTTCTTATCGTATTGACGTATTGAATAAATTGATATGATGTTTACCTTTTATACAGAATTTGAGCTCGTTCAATCAACATTCCGAAATTTTTCAAAATCGGATATGTTTATATGCATCAAATATCTGAGATAATGCATATTTAATGTTCAGGTCCGGCTTTAAAAAAATATGTTTGTAAAATTTTTATTAACTACAAATCCAGAACATTAAATATTTATAATTAGAACATTAATTACTCTATTATACAAGAACATAATCAGACCCACAGTCTGAATCAATATTTTCAAAGATGAGAAATTGTTTATTCCCTTTACTTTAATTACCTGAAACTGTTTAATTTAACAATTTTATTGTTTACTATCGGTTCTGTTAATGCAATAGAATGTGAGAACTGGGTCTCGGGTTGAGATTCGTGATTCTTGTTGTAACAATTAATCGAATGTAGGTCGTCTAAAATTAAATAAAAAATCCAGCATACTTTTTTGTTTAACTCAAAGAGATTTATGTGAGAATAGGTTGTTTTAGAAATTTTGTCAGCTCTATTCGTATGCGAATGTTTTCAATAAAATCTTATCTTGTCGATCGATATCCGTAATTTCCTATTAATTACTGGCTATCATCTCGAATTAGTAGAAACATGGCATAAATCAGTCAAATATGATGTTTATTCAAGATGACGGTGACGTGTGCTTAGAGCAATTTTCTACTTAACCGTATTCATTATTCAACGTTTGTAACACTTTTGCACAAGCACAAGACTGGCTATCATCATCCGTTATTCTGACTCATGAATGTGATATGTTATGCAAGAATAGTGTTGAATTGTTTCGCGAACGGTTCTTATTAGGTTTCTTTTTGGTTTAGGTTTTGAATATCTATTGAATTTAGTGAATTTTGATGTCAAAAATCGTAATGGCTTATTGTATATGAAGCGGTGAATTGTTTAATGCTCAATTTTTTTTATTAAAAATAACATATCAAGTATTTTTCTTTTAATAAAAACTTATAATTCAAATATTTATTAAATATGCTATAAACACCTTTAGAAGTGGACTGGTATTTTTACGCTATAAAATTTTTATGTGGAATAAATATGTTCAAAAAAACAGATAAATGCACTATTATTTAGGTAAATATTTATTGGATTTTTTACCATCAAATAACTCTATTTTGTACATTCTCCTGGATTATCAACTACATTAAAAAAGAATGTTTACATGGAGTTGCCAGAAAAAATTGGCTGTATACATTATAGAATTTCAAGAAAAGCAAAATTTTTAAAAGATGCGACTTTTTCTGCTTATAACAAGAAAAACATTGACTTATCTCCAAATTATTCTTAAAAAGATCCTCCCAAAAACATTGCATGTAGTAAATCTATGTTGATTAACAACAAATTCTTTCCAAGACAGTTAGTAATTGGTCTTGTTTGTTCGTAAATTAAGGTCACTACTGTTTACGGTATTTTTCTGTTTAGTTCGCAAATAAGAATTGTGACATGAAGTTACAGTTAAAAACAAAGTTTATAAACAACTAACGAACCAAATTAGCACTCTATTACCTACCTAACTTCTCATATTACTTAACGATCGAATTAATTAATTTGTTCAAAAATGCCTCTGTTAAACGGTAGTGATGCATAAAAATGGCATTCCCTCGAATGTTAATGCCACAGAACCTCACGCAACCGCAGGTATGGTATGCATAACCACCATAACAATTCTTCCACCAAGGCCGTACAAACCTTACTTCGCTAAAATATCGTTCTAATTAAGATACAAGCCGCATTTAAAACTGTATTTTACGGTGCCCGTTCATTGTTTTCCTAGACGGGAATGAAATCTACAAGGTCGGTTATCAATAAAATTATTCTAATGACCGGTAAATAAACCACTCATTAACTTGACGGGGACTCGTTTAAATCGAGTATTTCATACGGAAGAAGTTTGATATTACATTAGTTCAATGTTGTAGATAAATGATGGGCATTCCAAATCCGTATTTCTAATCGTTAACTTCTTGATTATGTCTACCTGTCCTCCATCTACGTATTTAGTATGCACTTTATGTATACATATGTTTTTAATAATACAGAAAGTGCGCTCTTTAGATTGGCTAGGGACAGAAATTTCCACTTTGCTAAATTACATCGAGACATAGAAACGCATCTTTATCGACTTGCGGCTACTTTGCTCAAGAATTATACCTATTAACTTATATTACATTCCCAATAAAACCTCTCCAAAACCAACAAGAGTGCACAGTAAATTTCAAAAATGAATTAACTCAGTTGCAATAACAAATATTTCGAAACTCGAGATAATTTCATTGACCACAATAGTGTTCAAAATTTGAACACTTAACATGCATCATTATGCACGATATGGTGAGTAATTCGGGATTTTATTCAAAGATTTACGAATCGTAAACGCTTATTCAATAAAAACGCCCGCGCGATAATTAAAATTTCCCAAAGTTTTTATTGGCTTTTTCGAAAGTGACACGCCATACATCATTGTATTTATTATGATGCAGTTGATGGACTGAAACCGGAATTTAATTGCCCGTTCTTGCATGGCGCTATTTTTGTTACCTGATCGCGGAAAATAGATTATTCGACGCAATAATAACTAATTACCGCGTTCAATTGATCCGAATAACGAAGTAATGGAATATTGTTTTTGAATGTAAACGAACAACAGGCGCCAGGAAGGTGTCGATTTCTTATCGACGGCTAGGAATAAATTCTGTTTTATTGTTTATTTTATTTACAGATGCTGTTAAAAAGCGAAATGTATCTATTAGTTAACAATTAATTATTATTTGTTAAAGATAAATAATTAAACATCTGCGCTGTAGATTGTTTTGTTCAGCATTGTAACTCATAACTTTTATTATGCGTGTATTATTTCCTTATTATTTGTTCCTCTCAGCATAAATCGTGTAAACTGAAAGTCACTAACTCTATTCAATGGTTATATTAACTATTTGTAATCAAAGAATAGAATGTAATTTAATTTAAAGCCTCGTGGAAACGCACTTAAACGTGTGTAAAATCGATTCCAAGAGTAGTAGGTACCTTTTTCTCATCCTTGAAGCAATATTCTTTACGTAATCCAATCATCACAATGTATGATTTTTTTATTCAATCACGCTAGTTCTCGTATGGTAGAATCGCTTCTTAGAACACATAGCTGGACATCATAAGCTGTTTATATGGTTTATATTTCGTTCGAGGAAAAACGGAATTATTATTTTTCATAAGGTGCATTTCATTGTAGGTGATTATCGAGATTTGTACGTGTCTTTAAAAACGTAATTGTCAATTAAAAGTGCATGAACTTGTTTCTTGAATTAATACTGAATTGTTAGTAACTGTTGATTAAAAAATTGCTAGTATGGAATTTAAGACTGATAACTGTTGTGAATAGTCAGTATTTTTGTTAGGTATTATTCCCTACGTTAATTCAACGGTGCATAAAGCTGAAAACTACCAGGTATTGTCATTAATGGAAAACTTTTATATCGCATTTTTCCGCTCCACTTCTTTAGTATCCCGACGAAATTCGTGTCTTGAAGTAACAGCAATTTCTCCGTAAAATAAAAGAGAAAACATCAAAAATTTGATGAAAGTCGGAAAAAATATTTTTTAGTCTAATTATAGAATAATAATTCTCCGTTTCGAAGTATTCTTGTATAAAAAATGCGCTGGATTTTGCTCTGGGAATTGTATAGTTATCGAAGCGAAATTAATAGTTCTTTCAATAAAACCAGTTGTATAGATTTCTATAATATGCACCCCCGATAGGGGCTTTATTTATAACGCTCTTATTTACGAGTATACAACGCTACTGGATATATTACCGGAGGGGAAGATTCGGAACTCTGCTAAAGATTCTTAGTCACCGTGAAATGAATAGAATGCTTCAAAACGTAATTCGAATTAATGTATTGCAGTTCCTGCAGATCTTTTTTTCATACGAGTGTTATATATCAGTTTTTATTCCGTTCCATTTACGCTGAGTGCACAAATCATCGAGAGATTTGTTTCGAGAAGTTGCAACTGCAACACATTTTCTGCAAACTTCTCAGTAATTCCTCAATCATTTAATGTCCCTGCGCTATCTGGACAGATTGATATCGATACCTGTAGCGCATTATAATTCCGCGTTTAATTAAGAAATTTTAACGATTGCGACCGTAAAATGTCGTTTAGGAGAACATCTCGAAAAGCGCTCCTTATCAGTCGAGACGGGGAAAAATCTGCGAGATTTTACCATAATTAATTTTGATCGATTTCGTGCCGCACAAAACTCGAACTTGTTTAATTAGAACCACGTCGAAGAACCCGTACGTATGCCTACATAATATTTCAGCTCTTTTTATTCTCATTAGACCGAGCACGGTCGTCAGTTAGTTAATTCCTTAAGGATGCAGAATAAATGAATATAATTCAACTAAATTTTTAGTTGCAAAAAATAGATATTAGAGTGCACATTGAGGGAAATTTGAGAGTAATTTTTTATTGTAAATGTTTGTGGAATGATTGGTGATTATTTGTGTATATAGCATCTGCGCCAATGGGTGGGAAAACTTCTTTCAGAAATTGATTAATAGACCAGGATCTACTTCTTCGTGCATCTATCGCTAAATTGCTCGTTTCAGTCGTCTCGAACTCGCGTAAGGAATACCATAAATTCCGTAATTACTGGAATAATTAGTACAGGACGACATAAAAGAAACAGAAATAGTTGCGCGCGGAAATAGATTAGCATTTCTCCGGCGTGTCTTTAAATAAATCCGTTTTGATACTAAGTATTTCGAATTGCGACCAGAAAACGCTAATTGCGACGCTCGATTATTCCGCTAAGGTCGCTGATGGTTTATTAACCGGTACTTGCATATTAATTTGTGCACCGGTGGATTCGTAATTGATGTTTTCTGATGGAATTTAATTAAAAGTTAATCACGCATTAGTGTGTAAATTTATTGTCACAACAATATAACTGATTAATTCTATCTACATAGTGGAAAATTATCGTTGCTTTTTCTAAACAAGTTTGTCCAAATGACCGTAAACTTCGACTTCTTCCTTTAACTAATTGCATTTCCTAAAGTTCATTTAGCGTCCCGCCGAAAAGTAATTACAAAATTAATTCGACTGTTAACTAGACGAACGTAAATACAAAACAAGCCCGGCTAAAAATAGACTGAAATCCAGCCGAAGATGCATCAATATCTATCACATTACACCGTCTACCTACCTATTAAATCGCAAGCGCTATTAGCGCACAGAGCGCTATTTTTTTACTCGATTCCATCGCTCTAACGAAGGCTTTAGAGCTTTTAAGTAGGCAGCAGGTAAATATTTCATTTTTGCAGTTTTATAATCCGACATAACCGAGAGATGCAATTTACGTTTATCGCATTCATCTTGATTAGTCCTCGAAGTTGCAAATTGACCGCGTATTAAAGGAATCGATTGGAATTATTAATCGGCACGCCTTGAATATTTCAACAATTTTTCTTAAGTTGTGGAAAATTGGAAAGTTTGTCTCCATGAATTATTATTGCATTAATGTTTATGCGATTATACTAGAAATGTCTATAAGAATCCAAGAATTTTTTACTAGATTATCTGGTGTATATTATGAAAAATAATGGGTTTGCACTATGTTTTATTACATTTGGAAAAACTCGCATTACTCAAAATTAGAGGTTTTAAATCAACCTTTAAAGTTTCATAAACTTTTATGCCCCAAAACGCCAGTCATATGTTTAAAATAAAAGGGGGAAGCTAAGCCTAAAATAGCCATTTGTATAATAAATAATAAACGCATCTTCCCCTATAGGTAGCCATTTAAAACACCGTTTAAAACTCGCTAGAATTATCTTGTAAATTTTAGTGAATCAATAAACTTATCTTCCGTTTGTTTCAGCCGTATCGATGCTCTTCCTATTTTTGTCTGCGTTCTTTTGGCTCAACACCATGTGCTTCAACATCTGGTGGACGTTTAGGTGAGTGAAATAAAAAAGTTTATCTTGCATGCGCTAATGCAAATATTTGCAAAATTGTTTTCGCATTATCCGCCGTCTCTTTCGATATCCTTTTGAACTCGTCGGCGGATTCTGAAAGGCAACAAACAGCCGGCGAGTTTGCCATGTCTATTATCTATTCGTTGAGTTTGGTTTAATTTTTATGCACAATGGTAAGTATGATACATACTTGCCCAATTAGTATGAAACTAATCGGGGAATTTTTATTGCGTTATGAATTTTTTGTTATTTATTTTGTGCACATCTGCACAGAAATATTTCTAAGTGCAAGTGGTGCATGGCTCTTTCACAAAGCAAATTTATTGTGTAATTTATTATTTAGTAAAATTTTAAGGGTTATTGATCAGATTTTCTACTCATTCTAGCTAACTTTCTTATGGCAAATTTAGCTCTCTGCATGGTGCAGATTACGAAAATAATAATAAAAGTTAATTCTGAACTTTGATTGAACGTTTGGAGACCTGCGAATTGTTTTATTTATATCGGTGAACCGCAGCCGCACGCTTTAATGACCCACGACTTGACGGTTATTAAAATTTATTGAAATATTTATTTTGATTATTATTTAATTTGCGTCTTGCCAATTCGATTGATTTCGAATTGCACCAAAAAAAAAAGGCGCCACGAAAGATTTACGACGCCGCTTTTACGAAACTTATCCATAAATCCCGCGGAAAATGTGGCGTTTCTATATTTATTTTTTCGAGATTAGTGTTATTTCTTAGGAACAGTTAATTTGTAACATACGTTCCGACAACTCTATACCTCGAAATCAATTCCCACCTCTACGTCAAATGTCAAAAAATGTTAAAAAGTGACATTTATTGGATATGTCTACTCGACCGAATGGACGTTTTACTTGCAGTGACTATAATACCCGTACGTCTAATTTTATCACCAATTATTACCGACTGGATGGATCTTTCTGAAAATTATTAAAACAAACATTCATTAAAATAACGCACGTACAAATCGTTTTTTTTATATTGTGTACCGCTTTGAACGTCTGCCAGTTGAACGCGGAAGCGGCCAATGTAACGAACCACCGGCCTGAAAGACCGAAGCGTTATTATTAAACTTATTAAGTCTCTTTCCTCCGTTATTACTGGATTAGTTTTCTTATTTCCGCGCAAGATATGACCACCTATGAATTTCCACGCAGATAAGCCCATCGAGTGGGACTCATCTACGACCGGCTCTACCTCCAGGTCTTATCGAGTACGCGGTGTAATTACGCGAGAATATGAAATTTATGGTTTATTAATTCGAAGTAATTTAACTAATAAAATAATTTATTGGTGGTGAGTTGATGGAATGTATAAAAGATTTTTGTATTATTACTGGAATAGAATCTTCTCATCGCGCGAATTCAGCGATTGCAACACAAATACACTTACTTGTCATGACGTGATGTTAATTTTTTTTCGGTTCGGGTTTTATCTCATTCGGCAAGTGATGCACTTAAGGCTATCGAGACGTCCGGACGGGATGAGAGCATCTTCGAGATATTCACAGTCGCGGGAATGCGAGCGGTTGATCTAATGTCTTTGGCGCCTCGTTGCGTGGATTCGCAACCGAAAAAAAAACGCGGATAATTGCACGAAAACGCCGCCGGCTTATTTAATTTATGTGCCAATTTGAAGAGCCCGACGGACAGTCGAGCTCTCCAATTTTCTCTGGAATTAAATTACTCTTCGAGCGCGTTTCTATTTTCTTTCGACCAATCTGGATGATTGGAGGGTTTTGTGTGGATAAAATGTATCGTTAGAAATTGTACTTATTTCCTCACATATTATACTTGTTATAATTAAATAAGTACTTGTAAATTCTAGTTTTTATTCAGCTCTTTATAGAACGGTCTGCATAGTATAATTGCGAATGTTACAAAAACGATAATGTGCGATGAGTCTGAGCAGTTTCTCGCTAACGAGTATCAACTACAAATTAAATGGCAATCTGGTCGTGATAAGAGCTGAGTAACATCTAATTTTGAAGGATTAAATTATGTTCCAGTTTTTTTTAAAGCTTGATTCATCTGAGTAACTGATGGTTTTCGGAAACGAAAAAGTCTCATAATTCATAATGTCTAACCGCAACCACACTGATGATAATTGAAATATTAGTTTCTAATATAAAAATAGTTTTCGTAAGAATTATTACGATATCATTTTCTAATTATATTATAGTGATTTAAATTGGGTTATTAATCCAACAAAATTGTGCATCTTTAACTTCGCTCAATCTTGTAAATTATCTGTATATTATTTGTTGTATATTATACAACGTTGCCTTGTTGCAACTTTTCCTACCACTTCCAAGATTTTTAAAAGCTCATAGAAGAAAAACAATTCGAGTAAGTAACTAAAACGTTAATTAGGTATCAGCGACTTTATTTATATCTTATGCGTATATCGAATCCGATAAATGTTATTTCAGATTTTCTTGCGCTGAACAAATAAACAACTGACAAAAGGCGCCTCTGAAAGAAAAACGTACGATTTCAACGCGAAGATATTTTCCCAGCAGGATGGAACACATCATAGACAAGTAGATACAACAGTGTTAAGTGGAAAAAATCGATGTATTTTTCTTAGCGGAAACTGTTGTTATTCGACGTGTTTTTCGCCAGAAATCAGCCTTGATTTATATTATACATTAATCAAAAATCAAGTATTAATAGCGCTAATATTTCGACTGATTAATGGGAAATTTATACGTACAATCGAAACGCAATATTCGTGTGGGCACATTATTTTTGCGTAAGCAGTCAAGTTACGGATAAAATGTGGAAACACTCGATTCGAGGTGTTATTATTTTCGAAAACGTTTTTTTAAAAATATACGTAATTCGAGAAAATTGGTGTTTTCGCGAAATAGTAAATGGATTTTAAATTAATAGTTTCCTTTAAAATCTAACCTTGTTGTTTTTAAAAAATAGACGGGTCCGATCATTTATTTTTTTTTAACTTAAGCGATAGTTACTCCAGTTTTTTAATAGGAAATGTAAAAATAAACTTAATAAATTCTTTTATTATAAATAGATGAAAATTTACCAAAATTACGTAATTTCAAAATAAATCTACACTACATCCTAAAATCATTTAAAATACGTAAAAAACCAGGGCCGTATTAAAAAAAATAACTAGATTATAGTCCTGCAAGAACTACCTATTTATCTCTTCTAAAATAGTTTCCGTTTTTCTATATAAAAAAATATTCACCTAACACCCGGTATACATGCACTATACGTAAGTACACACAACGAAACTTCACGCTGTAAATGCATTTGTTTGTCTAACATTGCATTAAGTGCCTCTTCTTCTTTCCGCGTCCTCTCACATCGTCGCGACACGACTCAAGAAATTCGTCGTTGATGGGAAGTTCACTTACCTCGATGTTCACCGTTCTGCGCCTTCATCGAAAGTTCTCCTCTTTTTTTTTTTCATTACACGCATCTCTTCTGTTTACCGATTACATCCACTTCACATGTCTGCTCTATCCTGAGGCAAATGCATCGCCTAACGATTTCCTTTGATCTAATTAGCCCAGGTGTGCGCCTGTCGCAATCGGAAGATAAACTCTACTTTGTTGTAAATTACATTAGGTTTGGTTGAAGGGTTAAATTAGTCAAGTACTTCTTTATAAGGAAATGAAAGTGCGAGTACCAAAACACCCGAAAAAACACGTTTACTCCTATCGGATTCCCACGCAGCAATTTTACAGTTACTGACTATTTCGAAATGATATTTAACAATAAAATACGGATCAGAAGATATTTTAATCCGTGTAGAGATTAGGATCCGGCATGCGGACGTCGTTCGAATCCTCGATGTAAATCTATCTTTCACAATATCACCGATGGACGTGAATGAACCCGAAGAAGCGCCGAAACCGGACCAACACGGGCGAGTGAAAGTTGTGACTAAGCCATTACGTCCGGTAAAAGGGTTACCTACATTTAATTACGGCTGATCTACTCAATTAAAGACGTTTTAGTTAATGTGCATCGCGAGATGTCCGATCGTAGATGCCTCAGACACCTATAAAGTGGCTGTAGAGATGGTAATTGACGCTATAAATCTTGCTATCGATAATGTCAATGTTTAAATCTTGAGTATTAGTACATAAAATAACGGTTAAATTGTAACACACGTTCTGACACCTCTACACCTGAAGATTAGTTCCCACCTCTATACCAAATGTCAAAAATGTTAAAAAAAGTGACATTTAGTGGATATGTCTACTCAACCGAAAGGTCGTTTGGTAGTGACTACTCGCACGTGAAATTATCGCGTAATAAAATAATGCTCATTTATTAATTATTATAAATCAACCAAGTAATCGATTCGAATCGCCCACCTCTAAAACACCCAACCTTGAGCAGGTATCCTCGCAGGTATTCTCTCCTTTTCGTGTAAACTTTCACCAGACGAGCACTCTTGTTCGGTACACGTAAAAGCAATTTTATCGACGATGCCGGTTTTAAAATACAGAAAATTCCGCTCTCGAGTCGTCCGCAATTGCGGTTGATTCTTGAAATTACGGTTCCGACATAACAATTACGTTCGATGCGTGTCTCTGCGAGCGGCCGCACAATTCTATTTTATTTCCCTTCGTTCAATACCAACCGAACGAGTACCGTAATGAAATTTAAATTCGAACAGGTATAGGTACTCTAATAAGCTATTCAATTCCACGAGAATCTTCTCCACTACTTCTTCTTATTACACTATTTTTCTTGCGTACTGTTCATGCAGTGAATGGAAATATTTGTTGAGAAGTTGGTAATGGTACTACTATTGACATTTTGGAACATTAAGTTTGGACTTTATCTGGTTAGTTTACTAGTCAATTGTGTAGTTAAAAGGATAATTTAAAGATCACTAGCTCAACTTAACAGAGCAATAATCAGAAGGTATCTTCGAATTCCGCTGAAACAATAGTGCCTACGTATTAGATAC